GTTCATTTGTCATTGAAATTCTTTAATGCAAACTTGAAAACATTAACCTGTACCAACAGTCTGAAAATGTGTTGTAATTGATCATAAACAAAACACACCCACTTGCTGTGTACTATCACACAGCTTTAAAAATCACTGAAAAATATTCATCAGTATTACAATTATTGTATTTTTACTGTTATACCCTTGCAACTGTAACACACCTTAATCATTGATGACAATATTGTGCTAAAACTATAAGCAGAAATACTAGAAATACAGGACAATACTTCATCTCCTCCTCGTGGTACCCGATATCCTAGAAAACTGACTAGGTTTCTGACATTTCATCATCTTACTTGACGTCCCTTTTTTATGCAGCCAAAAGGGAGGAGAAATGATGAAACATCTCTAAAGCAGGACCATCAGAATACTGTGATACCTTGCCAACATCTTGCTGACAATGAAATAATTAGATATTATTAGCCAAGCATGATCCTGTATCATAAGGCTAAAAAAAATAATAGTCTACGTTCTCAGGAACTGCCCGCACCATCATAAAGTTTGCCGCACGTTTTGTTTTTATTTCCATTTTTACTCCACCAAAAAAACACAGCCCATCGGCACTATATTTTCAAAACGCATTGCCTGAGAACAAATTCTTTTATTTTTTTAAGCCTAAATATCGTATCTTAGGAACGAAAATTGTATTATGCTAGCAAGTGGTGGACATTACTCATTATACCTAACAAAATTTACAAAACATCAACAATGACTAATGTCATTCTTCATTAGTCAAAAGTAATTGAAGAAAACTGTATGAATACAATGCCTTAGTGAACTGCATCATGTATTTCATAGTGCCCATTGATATGAAGCAATGCTTGTATGCTGTATACAGAAACTGGCACATCAGGAAAATCCCATCTAAACTTATTGGGAACATTAGGTGATAGTTTGAGTAGAAAATAGGTATTACACTGTATGGATCTTACTGAAAGTAGTCCCTGCTGGAGGACCATTTGGCCAACCGTCATGTGTTTGTGAGGTCGACAGGTCAAATATAGACCTGGCTTACGATGACTACGTGTCACCTTGAAGGTTTATTTTCAGGGCCAATCTTGTTTTAAGTACAAGGTAACCTGATTAGCATACTGTAAACAGTGAATTTTTTGCGACCGTTTTATTATTGCGAGTTTTGCGAACGAGAAACAATCGCAAAAATTAAAAACGCAAAAATAAGTATAAATAATACATACATACTTACTCATTGCAACATGTCATCAAATGTTGAAATTATCAACCAGAACCACAAGTTACTCAATAAGTTAAAAGAATGGTCACACAATACATCACAAATGACAGACCAATTAGTGTCACTGTTACCTCACAGTAATCCTGCCTTCTTCCAACCTCGCTTGATTGCGTCAGTGTCCTTTGCAATTTTGTACACACAGGAAACAAGCCATTTTGGTGTACCGTTACGTATCTCCACATTGTCACAATTTGTGAGTGACGAACTTTTACCGACTGATGCGTATTTCGCACACGGGCCCGGCCAGGCCTTTTAATGTGTTTCCGAAAGGGGCGAAGGTGGTCTGTGCAACCCAAGAGGGGGGTTTTAGGGGTTGCTTATATAGAATTTGGGAATTTTGAGATTTGGAATAGATGCCGATGGGATTGGGGAGGAGAACTAAGGGAGCTGGGTATGGTGGATGTTTGTTTGTTTATGTGATTTTGATTTGGTGAGTTATTGTGTTTTTAGATGCGTTTTATTAGTTCCGTTTTGATTAAGAATACGCCTAAGGCCTTGAAGTTTTCTAGTTTATTTTGTGGGTTTAGTATTGCTTCTAGAGTTAGAGCCTTGTTTAGATTGAGGGTGGTTTGTAATGCGGTTCGATGTGTTAGGTAGTGTGTGCAGTGGATGAGTGCGTGTTCTGGGGTTTCTGGTTGTTTGCAGTGTGGGCAGTTACCTGTAGTGTGTTTTTTAAATTTTTTTAGGTGGTTATTTAGGTTGGTGTGTCCTGTTTGGAGTTTAGTGATTACTCTGTCGATTTTTTTGGATGGATGGAGAATTTTTGGTTTGGTTAGTGGTTTGCTGAGCACTTTTTTGATTTGGCTATTTGAGTTTAGATATAGGTTATGCCATTTTTTGGTGATTTTTTGCTTGTTTACACTTTTAATTTCTGATTTTGAGATGGGTAAGTTTAAGCTTATTTCTGGGATTTTGAGGGATAGTTTAGCTGCTTTATCAGCGTTTTCATTACCGTATATTCCTACGTGGGCGGGTATCCACAAGAAGGTTATTTGTTTGCCTGCCTTAGTTAGGTCGTTGGAGCTTTTAAGTATTTGATTTATTAATTTAGGTCGGTTTTTGGTATTTTTGTTTTGGAGGGCTTGCAGTCCACTAAGGGAGTCGGTAAGTATTAGTATTTTTTTTTTTTTTTTTTTTTTTTGGTTTATTTTATTAAAATCCTTCTTATATGGTTTGCATTCAAACTCAGTCATGACACTGAGTTGAGTCAATTATCGATTTGATAATGTCAACACGGCAACTCGCAAAAATATCTTGTCAGAGTATTGTCTTTGGTGTGGTATTCGCAATATTTTAACGGCGCAGAAATAAAGCTGTTTACAGTATCTATCAGATTGTGATAGCAAGTTTATCAGAAGGTTTAAAGAATCTAACAAGTTTAAGGTATGACAAAAACAAGGTTTTCCTGTACGCATACGAACGTAAATGCAATTCAACATGTGAGGGAAAGCTACTTTCTACCAATTCATTTGAAACATTAAAAAGGCAAGACGTACAAAATGTTTTGTGGAAGACTGCTGGACATGCGGCAGGTGTAGTATGACTTCCGTACAGTGTCCCCGTTGCATACAAGTTCTACATTATGACATAAACAGATTATGGCGTCTCAACAAAGTCAACATATGTAAACAAATACATATAACAGAAAACAAATAAAAAGTAATGTCACGTAAATAGTTCATATATATTAGATACATCATTCTAAAATAAATATAATCATGAATATTTGAGACGTTATATTCTGAAAATGATTGTTTTCATGTTAAAGAACATAGACAATAGAGCTTACAACATGAGGCCTAGTAAGAGGCAGAAACAAAATATGAACTGTTGTTTGCATAGTTTCTTTTTTTGTTCTGAGGTGTTTGTTTGTTTATTGTTTAACGCCACACTCTGCAATATTCAAGCTATATAAGGGCGGTCTGTAAATAATCAAGTCTGGACCAGACAGTCCAATGATTGACATCATGAGCATCGATCCACACAATTGGGATCGATGACATGCATCAACCAAGTCAGCAAGCCTGACCACCTGATCCCATTAGTCGCATCTTACGACAAGCATAATCTCCTTTTATGGCAAGCATGGGTTGCTGAACATCAATTCTGAGGTGAAAAACTGAGGTCAAGATGGTCAATGAAAAAAATATTGCAAAAAGTCTGAAGAAGTACCCTTAGTTCGATAGACCTGCAGAAGTGACCCCAAGTGAGCAGAAATGCCAATAAAACAAATATTATTATTATTATTATTATAATGATACAATGTTAAAATATCTCTAAATGTAAGGAAGAACAAACTTTTTCATCCCATCTACTTCCTATTCTTCTCAAACAAAGGGAAGTAACTCTAATCTGAAGTTGTCTTAATCCTTGTTAATCAACGCACAGCTGTAAAAACTGAGTTTTCTTACCCGTAATTTAGGTTTTATGTATAACTAATTGGGACTATTGAAACTATCCATTGTCAGGCATACTAACTCATTGGTGTTTCTAAAATCCTATCAACATTGTACAGCGTTAGAAATTGGCACTAGTCCTGTAGTCCTTACCAAACTGCCCAATAGTATCCTAAGGACTAGTAGAAATTGGTCCATTTTAAGGGTTTTGCTAAATGTTATCATCATAAGGACTAGTGGACAAAAACTGTTAGTGTCTAACCCTGTGTACACAATAATTAACTGGTAGTGACAACATCTCTCCAGGTTGCCTCTACAGTTCATAGCAAAGCAGAAATACTATGAATGTAGACATAGCACAAACAGACAGCACTAACAGACAGCACCAACATGGCCGAGTGAGTGAGTGAGTGAGTGAGTGAGTGAGTGAGTGAGTGAGTGAGTGAGTGAGTGAGAGTGAGTGAGTGAGTGAGTGAGTGAGTGAGTGAGTGAGTGAGTGAGTGAGTGGATGAATGAATGAATGAGTGAAACATGAAAATGTATCGGATTTGTTCGTAACCAGGAGTGTGTTGTAGACATCACCACATGAAACTTGGCCCTTTTACTAACAACAGGTCGACTCCGTCTTTGAATCTGTCTACAGAATATGGTCAATAGCCATGAAAGACTAGGAAAACATGTGAAAACAGATCCATACGGTCTCCATCATTATCATGCAGCCATTTAACGACCCTGTTGACACTAAATTGTGCACTTCACCTGTGTCTAAAATATTCTTTGTGAAGTTTTCATCAGTTTGAGCCTGGTCATATGAACTATTACCTTCCTTATAATGATCAAAGTCACTGTCTAATGACATATACAACGGCAGTCTGTAAATAATTGAGTCTGGACCATGTGGACAAACCAGTGACTGTAATGCTGGAAGGTTTTGCAAGCAGGCAAGTACTGCGAAAACTGTGAGCAACAGACTCGCAGTAGTTTCATGACACAGTTATTTTTGCAGATGTAAGACGGTATATAACTTGACTTCACTTCGACATGTTGTCCAACCAGCCAGTACATGATTAAACAAATACCGTATTCAACGTAATAAGCGCCCCACACTGATAAGCGCCCACAGCGATATTTGCTAATATATTGGCCAGTGAACAATCCTAAATAGCACCCCTTCCGATTGATCAATGTACACAGGACTTTTATATTCGCGAAAAATACGCACTCATGTGTTATATGCACCCCTAATTATGGGCAATTAAATTCTGGAAAAATATATCTGTCGTACATAAACATTTCAGGCTGTGAGCATTAACAACGAAATTTATCTTTTAACTCTGTTTTTTTTTCACCAAAATAATATTCGAATAAGAGCCCCCTATTTCTAATTTTGAGAGCGCCCTGGGCGCTAATCCCTAATTTTTTCTCGTAATTACACATTGTAACTTAGTGTCAATAGTCTAATTAGTCCCAGTTCACCAACCTGCAGCATCAGATTAATCCAGAGTGAGTGAGTGAGTATGGTTTTATGCCACTTTTAGCAATATTCCAGCAATATCACGGCGGGGGACACTAGAAATGGGCTTCCCACATTGTACCCATGTCGGGAATCAAACCCGGGTCTTCGGCATGACGAGCGAACGCTTTAACCACTAGGCTACCCGACCGCCCCAGATTAATCCAGACACACAGTCTATTCTGTTAGATAAGCACACTTACCTCAAACCTCCCTTGTCCACAACAACAACAACACATGCATCTATAGTTTATAAATCACTGACTGACACTGACTTACCCTTCCATCATGTCGCTTCCTACTAATCAAATATAACAGCTGCAAATGTATCTTTCATATTTAGCAATCTTAACAGGGTGTTGCAAAACTTTCTTGATGCAAGGTTATTGTGAGCCACTTGCAGTAATTTTATGATGCAAAACTTTCCAGATTTACAGTATTATCTTGTTTGTTTGTTGTTTAAGGCCACACTCAGCAATATTCCAGCTATATGGCGTCGGTGTGTAAATAATTGAGTATGGACCAGACGATCCCGTCATTGACATCATGAGCATGAATCTACGCAATCGGGTTACGATGACATGTGTCAACCAAGTCAACGAACCAGACCACCTGATCCCCTTAGTCTCCTCTTACGACAAGCACTGATATAATGAGCAACATTACTATAGTCGGATTACGATGACTAAGTCACCGAATCAGACCTCCTTTTCGTCGAGTCCCATGACCACCATAGGTCACTGGGACCAATTCTAACCTGGAACCTCAGAACGAACTAATACATGGAAATACAGATAAATAATCTCATGGAGGCTGTCAAATACATGTTAAAACATCCAAGGTTGTGAGACAAAGTGAGTGCCTAGATAAAAAAGAAGATCACAGTGGACGATAAGGACTCATGTCTCAAGGGACACATCAAGTAAACAGGAGTTCTGATTGGACAAGTTTCAACATAAGTATATCCTTATACTATTGCAGACATTACACTGTTGAGTCTTCCCTGTGACGGGTGTCATCAGCAGAGTGGCGCGGCAAGCTGGGAGGAGGGAAGCTGTAGGAGGGTTGGCCTGAAAGACTTGTTGGGCAGAGAGTTCCTCTGGGGTCAGCATCAGGTCTGTTTTCCGAATGGCTGGTCAAAATCATCGTCTTGCAGAGCGGACAGAAACTCTCTGAAATACGCAGACCCACTGACTAAAGTGTCTATTGTAGCACAACTAGGTGAGGTGGTGAGGTGAAATGGGGTTTAACGTCGTGTCCAAGATTATTGCATTTATATAGTGACGTGCATGTACGTGTGTGTGTTTGTGTGGCTGCTTGTACTAGTCCGGAATGATGTCGATTTATAGTGCTAGCTCACTGAGATACCATGCCGCAGTTTAACATGAATACCCTACTCAGACACAGTATACTGACTCCGAGCCGACCAGTCCTTGTTTTAGCATCTTAATGCCGAGCCCCAGACAGGGTAACAACAAGTACCATCTTTTAACGTCTTTTGGTATGACGCTGTCGGGGATCGAACCTCGGACCTTCCGCTCTCCGGGCGGACGCTCTACCACTAGACCACGGAGGCGGTCTAGCACATCTGGGAGCTAGCGGCAATCTGATTGGTTGGTAAAGGGTTACTAAATGAGATTCCAATCCCAGAAACTTTTCAATGCATAAAAATACATTTCTTGGTATGGGTCGTGTACCAAATATTTGTTTGTTGTTTAACGCCGTACACAGCAATATTCCAGCTATATGACGGTGGTCTTTAAAAAAATCAAGTCTGGATCACACAATGCAGTGATTGATATCATTTGCATCGATCCACACAATTGGGATACAATGACATGCATCAACCGAGTCAGCGAGCCTGGTCACCCGATCACGTTACTCGCCTCTTACGACAACCATATCCGTCGGATCTTCACAGGTTTGTCCCAAATGAATGACACACATGCTATCAGTACACAGGAAACAGAGACCATTACTACAGAAACATTCCTATGTGTAAAGAATTTATGTATCAAATGCTACTTATCATACAGTGGGTAGTGTTCTGTGTGGGTTAACAAATAAAGCTGGTATAAATCAGGCAAGGGAGTTAACTGACTATAAAAGTCCAGTGTCAACACTTATTGAACCTACCCGAGTTCCTGGCGCTTCCTACTGGGGTCCTGCTGGGGAACAACATCTGGGGTCTGGTAGACTTCGGGCCGAGCTGCAATAAACCTATCTGATAAACTTCGTATCATGATATATATATATATCTTTGACGTAATAAGCGCCCCATTCTAATATGCGCCCATGGCGATATTTGCTAATATATTGGCTAGTGAACAATCCCAATTAGCACCCCTTCCGATTGATCAATGTACACAAGACTTATTTATTCTTGCATAACACATGTGTCATATGCATCCTTAATTATGTGAAATTAAATTCTGGAAAAATATATCTGTCGTATATAAACATTTCAGACTGTCAGCATAAACCAAAAAATTTCCGATCTTTCAACTCTGTTGTTTTTAAACAAGATAATATTCTAATAAGGGCCCCCTATTTCTAATTTTGAGTGCGCCTTGGGCGCTTATTATGTCGAATACGGTATATATGAAATATATAAGAATATACAATCAACTACTTTCTATATGCTCAACACTGAGCATCATCTAAATGAGTGAGTGAGTAAGTGGGGTTTAAAGTATCCCAGTTATATCATGGCGTGTCAACTTAAAGTGGGAGGAAAGCCCAAGGTGTTGCAGGTCTCTGATGTTTACCATTTTGGTGAAGCCCTCGAGCACAGATATGGTGCTGACAAACCTAGAAACAAAATCGGGGCAAACCGAGATTTGAACCCACAATCATAGGCTGCACAGCGAATTGCTGCGCCTTAAACGACTGGGCCAACCGTGCGCCTCTCATCTGAGTGAGAGATTTACTGACACCACCATTGTTTTCAGGGAGTGTCACATGTACGTCCATCAACAAACATGAACTGATTTGAATTGTATTGAAGCATCAAAATGAATGGTTGATCTCCATGTAGCATGCTCACATCCAAATATACTTCTTGGCCCGGTCTTTCTCTTGTCTGTCTTGTTGAGTTCCACGGCAGAGTCCTGCAGTATCTTGGAGATGCGCTCCAGCTGTCGATCCATGCGTGTCGCTGATTGCGGAGACCTGTCACTGGAGGTCCGAGACTTCTCCCTGCCCTGACCATCATCCACACTCAGGGCCGTTGTGGCCGCCATCAGGTCATCAATACTGATCTACAGAGTAAGTGAGGGAGTTACTGACAGGGATAGAAATCAGCACTTGCCCACTGTAGTCTGGAAGGTAATTTAAGTTACCGACGTTTACTACAATATCTGAAAAACTATCGGACCTACGCCAGTCAAAGTTGGTATGAGATTATTAAACAGTCATACATAACTGGATATTACATTTAAAGACAATCAGTGCATGAATAAAAAATCTGTCTATTTAGCTATCACTATATTTCATCAACAACCAGTCCTTAAATTACCTTCCAGACTATAGTCTGGACTGGTTTTGTTAATGCTAAAGGTATTCTAAGGGCTAGTAGAATTTCAAACATTTTGGGTGAGGTAGTGAAATGGGGTTTAACGCCGCGTCCAAGATTATTGCACTTATATAGCGACGTGCATGCACGTGTATGTGTGTGTGGCTGCTTGCACTTGTCCGGACTGATGCCGATTTATAGTGCTAGCCCTCCAAGATACCATGCCGCAGTTTAACATGATACCCCACTCAGACACAGCATACTGACTCCGAGCCGACCATTCCTTGTTTTAGCCCCTTAATGCCGAGCGCCAGACAGGGGAACAACAAGTACCATCTTTTAACGTCTTTTGGTATGACGCGGCTCGGGATCAAACCCCTGGACCTTCAACTCTCCGGGCGGACGCTCTACCACTAGACCATGGAGGCGGTCTCAAGCATTTTTGGGGTATGGCTACAATCACTATTTAAGCTTGATGACGTTCTTGGTTAATTTTTCACCCCTCATTACTGGCAATGTTAACATTAATTCGTGAAACCCATGGATACTGGGTCAATACTGATCTATAGAGTAAGTGAGGGAGTTACTGACAGGAATAGAAATCAGCACTTGCCCACTAGTCTGGATTGGTTTTGTTAATGCTAAAGGTATCCTAAGGGCTAGTAGAATTTCAAACATTTGAGGTGGTGAAATGGGGTTTAACATTGCGTCCAAAATTATTGGGGTATGGCTATGTTATCACTACTTAAGCTTGTTGACATTCTTGGTTAATTTTTCACCCCTCATTACTGACAATGTTAACATTAATTCGTGAAACCCATGAACTGCTGACAAACCAAACTGACAAATTTGGGGCTGAAAGCCTTGATATAAGATCCTGGCATTCTTGGGCGACGTAAAACAGAGCACAGAGAATAACTGTGACTTAGATGAGTGGGCTGCCTTTGGACACAGGTAAGCTGCTGACAAACTAAGGGTTAATAATCTGGGCAAATCTGGGGAGCAAACCCATGATAATTAGATCCTGGCATTCCCAAGGGGCACAACTCTGCACAGGATGTAACTGTGTTGGCTGATTTATCATTATAGCCATATAACACTGGTGAATAATTAATGTTTACTTGTCAAGGGGCAACTTCCAGTTTTGACATTTCCACATCTGTTACTTCGACATAACACACTCACCTCATTCCTTGTCCCCATGTTGTGAGACTTCAGGTCATCAAAGTCAGTCGTCTTCATGTACTCCACAGCAGCCTTGAACGTCACCAAGCAGTAGCTGGCAAAATAACAACAAACGATATAGAGGGTAAAAAATACAAATGTCCTTGATTGTGGAGAACCATGTGAGCTAACTACTACCTGCACACACAACCTACTTGACATTGTCCATGTCCTTGATTGTGGAGAACCATGTGAGCTAAGTTCTACCTGCACACACAACCAACCTTACGTCCATGTCCTTGATTGTGGAGAACCAGGTGAGCTAACTTAGACCTGCACACATAACTTACCTGACGTTGTCCATGTTCTTGGTGGTGGAGAACCAGGTGAGCTAACAGCTACCCGCATACTTAACCTAAATGACGTTGTCCATGTCCTTGGTGGTTTACAACCGGATGAGCTAACATCTACCTGCACACATAACCTACCTGACGTTGTCCATGTCCTTGATTGTGGAGAACCAGGTGAGCTAACTTAGACCTGCACACATAACTTACCTGACGTTGTCCATGTCCTTGGTGGTGGAGAACCAGGTGAGCTAACATCTAGCTGCACACATAACCTACCTGACGTCCATGTCCTTGGTGGTGGAGAACCAGGTGAGCTAACATCTACCTGCACACATAACCTACCTGACGTCCATGTCCTTGGTGGTGGAGAACCAGGTGAGCTAACATCTACCTGCACACATAACCTACCTGACGTTGTCCATGTCCTTGGTAGTGGTGAACCAGGTAAGCTAACATCTACCTGCACACATAACCTACCTGACGTTGTCCATGTACTTGGTAGTGGTGAACCAGGTGAGCTAACATCTACCTGCACACATAACCTACCTGACGTTGTCCATGTACTTGGTAGTGGTGAACCAGGTGAGCTAACATCTACCTGCACACATAACCTACCTGACGTTGTCCATGTACTTGGTAGTGGAGAACCAGGTGAGCTAACATCTACCTGCACACATAACCTACCTGACGTTGTCCATGTACTTGGTAGTGGTGAACCAGGTGAGCTAACATCTACCTGCACACATAACCTACCTGACGTTGTCCATGTCCTTGGTGGTGGAGAACCAGGTGAGCTAACATCTACCTGCACACATAACCTACCTGACGTTGTCCATGTCCTTGGTGGTGGAGAACCAGGTGAAATTCTCCATGTAGTAGATGTCGCTCTGGAGATGTCTGCACTTGGCTTGAGCTATGACGGTCACCTGCAACAAGGACCCTTGGTCAGTACAGGGTCTTATTTGTTTGTTTGTTGTTTAACGCCGCACTCAGCAATATTCCAGCTATATGACGGCGGTTTGTAAAATAACCGAGTCTGGACCAGACAATCCAGTGATTGACATCATGAGCATCGATCCACGCAATTTAAGTCGATGACATGTATCAACCAAATCAGCGAGCCTGACCACCCGATCCCGTTAGCCGCCTTTTACGACAAGCATAGTCGCCTTTTACGGCAAGTAAGGGTTGCTGAAAACCTATTCTACCCCGGAATCTTCACGGGTCGTACAGGGTCTTAGACAATGTAGGGTGTAATTCCCATCTCAAAGTAAATGTCTTTTTTTCATTTTTCGTAAATTCCTTAAAAGCTATAGAAGGAAATGATAAACAAGGGATATTCAAATGGCATAGGTCAGGTCAACCAAAATTATTCATCAAGTTTCCAAGTGTTGTGAAACACTGCTTATTGGAAGATATTGTCTTGTGGTTCAGGGCCTGTTCCACAAAGTGATCATAGCGTTAATAAGAAGTTTGTAACTCCCATACTTTAACATAGGCTTACCGTAGTTGTAGCCGTAACTCCCATACTTTAACATAGGCTTACCGTAGTTTTAGCCGTAACTCCCATACTTTAACATAGGCTTACCGTAGTTGTAGCCGTAATTCCCATACTTTAACATAGGCTTACCGTAGTTGTAGCCGTAACTCCCATACTTTAACATAGGCTTACTGTAGTTGTAGCCGTAACTCCCATACTTTAACATAGGCTTACCGTAGTTGTAGCCGTAACTCCCATACTTTAACATAGGCTTACCGTAGTTGTAGCCGTAACTCCCATACTTTAACATAGGCTTACCGTAGTTGTAGCCGTAACTCCCATACTTTAACATAGGCTTACCGTAGTTGTAGCCGTAACTCCCACACTTTAACATAGGCTTACCGTAGTTGTAGCCGTAACTCCCATACTTTAACATAGGCTTACTGTAGTTGTAGCCGTAACTCCCACACTTTAACATAGGCTTACCGTAGTTGTAGCCGTAACTCCCATACTTTAACATAGGCTTACCATAGTTGTAGCCATAACTCCCATACTTTAACATAGGCTTACCGTAGTTGTAGCCGTAACTCCCATACTTTAACATAGGCTTACCGTAGTTGTAGCCGTAACTCCCATACTTTAACATAGGCTGACCATAGTTGTAGCCATAACTCCCATACTTTAACATAGGCTTACCGTAGTTGTAGCCTAACTCCCATACTTTAACATAGGCTGACCGTAGTTGTAGCCGTAACTCCCATACTTTAACATAGGCTGACCATAGTTGTAGCCATAACTCCCATACTTTAACATAGGCTTACCGTAGTTGTAGGGCTAAAATCAGTTTGTGGAATTGGGCCACAGATCATTGTTCCTGCTAGTGCAGCGAAGCTGACATGACAATCAATTTCACAAAGTCCACATAAATACTAGAGTCATCAGGAGATGACAAATTCCCCCGGCCCCTACTGTTCAACGAGATAAGAGAATTTCTACCTAATCTGTCTGTCTGTACACAAGAGTAGTTATTGAGCTATCAAAACAATACCATGGAATTGGGATTAGGAACTTTGTATTTCTAGGTCAGGAAAACACCAATATGAGTCAAAATCAACCTTGTTGAAATGGAAACGAAAAAAACTATCAATTTTTAAAATCACATGAACTTCATCCCTTACATTAAAAGGTAGTTAAATACCAACAACCTCAAGGAGAGATGAACATTTAACCGCATCTTTCACCTTTTGCCTTTGAAATTAATTAAATAAATAAAAGCTGTGATTGTCAAAAGTCTATGTCACAGTGTATGGGCTACAACACTCAAGAGAAACAATCACTTTCAGAAAAGTGGCCTTGGATTCTAAACTACATGTGTTTTCATACATCCTGTTCACCACAAGTCTCACCAGAATAGGGATGAGGTCGTCCGAGGTCAAACAGGCGTCTGCAACATAAACCAAGTAATGCAGTCAGTGAATCAAGATGGATACCTGTACGACTGAAACAAGCCAAATTTTATAAGCTGAAATACAAAGTGAATCTTTTAATTAGGTGTTACAATACAGTCAACCAAACCTCTTCAATAACAAAATCATGCACAGAAATATATTGTTCCAGCACAACTCATTCCAAATGTCCTCGTGATGATCCAGATTAGAACAGGTCTTCAGCAATCCAAGCCAGCCATAAGAGATGACTAACAGTATTGGATGGTCAGGCTCGCTGACTTGGCTGATGCATGTCATCATATCCCAACTGCGTGGAATGAAGCTCATGAAATCAATCACTGGATTCTCACATCGATGCACATGGTGTCAATCACTGGATTGTCTGGTCCACACTCGATTATTTACAGACCGTCCAGCTATACGATAGTGGTCTGTAAATAAGAGTCTGGACCAGACAATCCAGGGATTAATATCATGAGCATCAATCCCTACAATTGGAATCGATGACATGCATCAATTAAGTCTGACCACCCGATCCCGTCGGTCGCCTCTTACGACAAGCATAGTCACCTTTTACAGCAAGCATGGGTTGCTGAAGACCTATTCTACCCCAGCCACGACCTAGTTCATACACTTATTCAGCATGCTATATTTCCTGGCATGCTTTTGTGACTAGGTTTTGTTTGTTTTGTTTGTTGTTTAACGCCGCACTCAGCAATATTACAGCTATATGACAACGGTCTGTAAATAATCGAGTCTGGACCAGTCAATCCAGTGATTGATAACATGAGAATCGATCCACACAATTGGGATCGATGACATGCATCAACCAAGTCAGCGAGCCTGACCACCCGATCCCGTTAGTCGCCTTTTACGACAAGCATAGTCGCCTTTTACGGCAAACATGGGTTGCTGAAGACCTATTCTACCCCGGATCTTCACGGGTCGTGACTCTAGGAGGACAAAATACAAGAACATAACCAGATGGTCAGACATTGCCCTGAACCAAGGTTCTTTAAGGTAACAGTTCGGATGGAAATAGAAATGACATGAATACCACAGGGAAACCGACTACCATATTCGACGAAATAAGCGCCCAGGCCACTCTCAAAATTAGAAATTGGGGGCACTTATTAGAAAATAATTTTAGTGAGAAAAACACAGAGTTGAAAGATCATAATTTTGTGGTTTATGCTGACAGCCTGAAATGATACAAAAGAAATGTATGTGTGTATTATACACGACAAATATATTTTCCAGAATTTAATAATTAAGTGTTCATATAACATAGTGCGTATTACACATGAATAAAAAAGTCCTGTGTACATTGATCAATCAGAAGGGGAGCTGATTGGGATTGTTCACTAGCCAATATTAACAAATATCGCCGTGGGCGCTTATTAGAGCGGGGTGCTTATTACGTCGAATACAGTATTCCTGTTGCTGTCATCAATGGTCATGTGAACATGCTGAATGCTACTCACCCCCACCCGATGACTGTCCCTGGAGGTTCGGCTGCTGGTTTTCTCTGACAAATGCATTCAACCCTTCTGTCACATTGTCCTGAAACAGTCAACACTGACATCAGCTAGGTACGAGGAACTGTCTCATCGGAAGTGAAGGGTTAAGAGAAACATCGACTGGCCACTCATGATTAAGGAATATCTGTACGGAGAAGTCCGAATAAATTCATTTTGTACTTTTTGAGTTGTGATTTTCATATTACCCATAGTCTTTTTTTTCCAGAAAATATAGAAACATGTTGGATTCCTGAATACAAGCGACGACATGAGCTCACTAGCTACAGCTCAGCTCACATCATCAACTACGTCACCTTCTGGCTTCAATGAGGGTCCTGATGGGTTTTAATGCTTAACGTAAAACACCCTTCAAACACTATCGTAAACGTAAAATTCATCTTTTTTTATCGTAAATGCTTAACAGAAAATACCAAAAAATAACTGCTTTACGTAAATAAATAATTTACTGCTTATTGTAAAATGATTAAAATGGTCAAAAACAGCCTTAAAGACCCAAATGCTTCGCCACAGAAAGCAGGCTGCGCAACTGACACAGGGGACGAGTCTAGAATGTATAGCGATCTGAGATTCTACCCGGTATTAAAAATATGAATTGTCAGGATGAAACGAAAGGTAAAATAACCTGGTGATAATATTATAATATTTGTTGAAAAATTCATTTGGCATATTTGTGAAACAAATATGCGACCCCCCAAAATTTTTGCGACGATTTTATTGAAAAAGAAGAAAAATTACTGCTAAATGAAAAGGTACCCTAAATTTTACTGCTTACTGCTTATGGGATCCCCCCATCAGGACCCTCTTCAATTAGTGTTGCTTCATGGGTTCCAAGCCCCCTGCCCCTCCCCTGCCATTTGGAAACAACATATTGTCCCCTATGACCATAATGAGGATACCACTATCCTCTCTTACACACATTGAAGGATTCAAAATAAAAAATTATCATATTAACACTGTCACTGTTGAAGTGTTTTTTGTCTTCAATATTAGCAAGAAAGATGAAATGACAGTACTGAAATCCAGGAAAAAAGTGAAAACTTTTGGAGATGTAAGATTTAGGCTATAAAAATAAAAGAATTGGTTCTCAGGCAATGACATTTGAAAATATAGTGCAGGCTGGTGGTTTTTTTTTTTTTTTTTGCTTGTTCAAACTAGTATGTAACCAAGTAAACAGTTGTGTATCATCAACCTGGGAAGGGCCTCCCTACATAAACAAGCATACAAACTCCTATTGCCACAAAGACCATAACACGAGATGTGCAGTAAAGCAGTGCGCATGTAAAGGGAAGTAACTGTGTGCTTTTTTGGATCGCATTGTTTTTAAGTATTAGTATTTTTGTAATTTTTTGAAAATGGAAATAACAACAAAACATGCGGCAGACTTTGTGATGATGCGGGTGGTGCCTGAGAACCAAGACTATTATTTTTTTTACCCTTATTTAATATTTTGCACATTATATAAATAAAATTCAATTCTAGATCTTTACTAGCCACGGCATAAGTGGGGTCTGTTCATTATGTTGATTCCTATAGGATCTGTGACTTAACATCAAAAATATGTGGTATATGCCATTAATCTGAATCAAAATTCTCTGATCATAAACAAAGATTGTTGCAACACTGAGTGTTTGACAGCTTGGGAGGCTACTCACAACTGTAGACTTGAGACACAGCTGTTTAGCTCTGGGGGTAGTCAGGCCGTCCAGGTGAGCTAACTCAACCACCTGCAACATCAAAACACATCTCGGATTCACATGAGGTGAGGTGAGGTGAGGTGAGGTGAGGTGAGGTGAGGTGAGGTGAGGTGAGATGGGGTGAGGGTAGGTGAGGTGAGATCGGGTGAGGTGAGGTGGGGTGAGGTGAGGTGAGGTGAGGTGAGGTGAGGTGAGGTGAGGTGAGGTGAGGTGAGGTGAGATGAGATGGGGTTTAACGTCGCGTCCAAGATTATTGGACATATATAGCGACATGCATGTCCGTGTGTGGCTGCTTGTATTAGTACGGACTGATGCCGATTTATAGTGCTAAAAATTCCAGTATCACTTGGGAAATACCGGAATTCACACACTCATGTCATAAACATAGTATGACATGAACACAAATATAAAATCTTCTATATATCACAATTTACTCCCCAAATTGCCTGACAAGGGAACTTAGTTAGGAATCCTAAACAAATCCCCGAGTGATTAAGCAACCACACAACTACTGCAACAACTGAATTACCCCCAAGAGTCCCCCCTACTTACAGCGGACGGAAGGGGACAGGAGAACTCGGCTCGGACCCCCAGGTATTCCGGCGTGACACCACTCAGTTTCTGGCACTGTTGAGACAGCAGTTTGTCATCGGCGGCAAACTCTTCACAGACGACCGTGAACACCTTCTGGTGAACGCTGCCCAGCACATAACTGCAACAGCAACACACAAAGCATTCATTCTAGATGAAACTGTATGTAGGTCCTCAGTGATAAATAAGTACAGTCAAACACCGTTGTGTCAAACTTTGATTTGTCGAACTTGTGGTTGTCTTGAAAAAAAAGTTTGCTCCCTGCATATTAGGGTTTGGACAGGTAACTCGGGTACTCGGGTCGGGTGGGTCCTGAGTCGGACCCGGGTACCCATAGGACTACCCAGACCCATGGTTAGTCGCGTGATATATTGTTTAATGACAAAAATTATCTAAAACTCTGTGGTTACACTATAAGTCGGTAATGTTCCCATTTCTTTCTGACAATGCACCCATTCCTTCTGACTTTTATAAGTTTGAACAAAGATAAAACTTTATGCACTAAACTTCAGTGTATGCATGACTGGATTGTTTTATACGCGTATCTAAATACATTTTGCCAGGGCTATGGTCAAACTTTTCCAAATCGAACAGTTTGTACCTATCTCTAAATATCTACAGCGGGTACCCGGGTAGGGTCGGGTAATAGGGTGGTGGGTACCCAGGTAGTAACTTTGGACTCGTCCCAGCCCTACTGCATATTCCTTCTTTATTCATCATTTTTGGTTGTGTCGAACCTTGGGTAAATCGAAGTATTTACATAGGTCCCTTCAACATTGACACAACGGTGTTTGACTGTATACTGAAGTAAGTCCACTGTAGTTCTCTTCGATTTTAAGTTCGTACAGCATGTACAGTGAACAGGGTTGGGTGTTCACTGAGCGTCTACTTGGAAATATCATAAGAAAATAACAGACATGTTGGTAGGACAAGATGTTTCATGTGAGTGAGTGAGTGAGTGAGTGAGTGAGTGAGTGAGTGAGTGAGTGAGTGAGTGAGTGAGTGAGTGAGTGAGTGAGTGAGTGAGTGAGTTGGGTTTAACGCAATTTTTAACAGTATTCCAGTTATCGGGGCTTGTCAGCTTGATGTGGGAGGAAAGCCCGAAGTGATGCAGGTCTCAGACGTTTACCACTTCGGTGAAACCTACGAGCACGGGTATGGTGCTGACAAACCTAGAAACATAATCGGGGCGAACCGGGATTCGAACCCACAGTCATAGGTTTCTGGCGTGCCCAAGGGACGCAACTCTGCACAGCGAATTGCGTTGCCCTAGAGGACTGGGCCCCCCGTGCCCCCCCGAATGAATGAAGTTCACATATCAGCCAATCAAATTGCATGCAGGTGTTATGACACATGGGTGATACTCATTATTAATGCCATCTGTGTCGAGTACCTACCTCTCTATTGAACCGGACAGAGCTTCTCTAAACTTGGGGTCGGAGTACAATCTGTGTTTAGTACATTTTGTGCACTTCTGAAGAGAAAGACAAAACACTTCACATTTTACTTGTCTGTTTCCAAAACACATACATGACCTGACAATAATATTGTATACACTTCATGCATTTGGGTCTATTTGGTTTGTATTGATTGCATGAGGATGAATTTGTTCCAAGACTTTTCATCAGGTCCTGTAATAAAGTAAATAAATTATTCATCATATATTTCTTAATCCTGTCGAACCCCGGTAAATCTGCGCCCTCACCTCGATGGCGTCGGCAGCCATGTTTTCCAGACGTGAGGCAGCATCCTGCAAGTAGTTCTTCAACACCATGTAGTTCTTGTTGAATCGGAAGATGCTCTCGTCTAGAGATTTCAACACCTACAGAATAGCAACAGCTTCTCTGAATAAGCTATGTCGAGCGGGTTAATTTTTTGAAGATTACTGATGAGCATGTTGGGCTTAATTCTCTCTCTCTATATATAGATATGAGCAAGCTGTACATTTTCAGAAGCACAAATAAACAAACAAATAGAAACAGTTTTATTTGGGGTGAAACGATTCACCGATGCATCATGTTTTCATGTGACGATACGATACGACACACGATACAGTTTTTCTTCATTGATATAAGATACACTTGCAAAAATAAATACTACTACAACTACTAGATTTATAGTAAACACGTTTCCATGCGATTTGACGTGGATATGCGTATTGCGATATGTATTGTATCGTGACCTATGTATAGTATCATAATCTTGCTGTATCGTTTCACCCCTAGGTTTTATTGAAAGTAAGTTTATTTTTTATTTTGGTTATTTCTTTTCTTTTAAACCTTTGTTTCAAGCCATAGTGAGTGAGTGAGGTGGGTTTAATGCCACTTTGAACAGTGTTCCAGTTATATCACGTAGGGTCAGCTTAAAGTGGGAGGAAAGCCCAAAGTGATGCAGGTCTCAAGACAATTACCACTTTGGTGAAACCTGGGCATGGTGCTGTACCCATGACCCTAGGATTCTGGCGTGTCCAAGGGATGCAACTCTGCACAAACGAAATGCAGCGCCTTCTACAACTCATCTTCCCGAGGCAAGTGAGTTAACTGAATATATAAAAGTCCAGTTTCCACCCTTGCCGAACAAGGCTGGTATTATGGAGTTACATTTTGGCTGGACTACAGAGTCTATGCATAGTCCTATTAAAATCGTCAAAAATAGTCAACAAAATTGAAATCCGGTTCGTAAACTGTCATGCAGATTTCGTCAAATGCAGGATTTGCAAAGCATGTGAACCGCTATCTCGTTGTCAAAAGATATTTTCTCAATCTTTTCATGTTTTTAATCAAGGTGCTCACATGATTTGATGCACTTCACGATATAAGACTCGTTTTATCACAATATAGATCTTGACTATCGATCAGATTGTCTTGACTGGGAGTCGCCATTTTGAAGCAAATGCAAGTGATACGAGAGGTGGAATATGATTGGACCATAGGAGAGGCATAGAAGGGACATAACTGGTAATAGCCACTGGTGTTCAGGAATTACAGCCTAGTTCAGCAAGGGTGAAAACAAGACTTTTAAGTCAGTTAACTCTCTTGCCTCGGGAAGATGTAGACAACTGGGCTCATGCCCCCATTTCCAGCAATAAAAATACTAATGATTATAATCTAAAGGCACTTGAAAGTAACATCCAGATTTATGTCACTACCCTTTCTTTGAAAATCAACAATGACAACAACATCAATTAATATTTTGCCTTCTTGATGGACTTACCACAGTATATTCAGCAAATGACTTCAGAAAAGCTTTGCATCTAAAAAAGCAAATAATAACAGCATGACATAAATGTACCGAAATGAACCAAAAAAGAAGAGCAAAAGATTTATCCAACTTCTGGCAGTTATTGTATAGTGTCAACATGGTCAAATGATTTGCAGCCTGTCAGTTTAGAGAAGCCATCACACCTAGGATGACTACAATCAAAGCTTACTGAGTACATCAGGCAACAGTTGATGAAGCAGGTAGGCATTGCATCAATGTTTGACGCTTGGCCTTACATTTTTGGTTGTTTTTAGTTTACAAAAGCAACCAACCACATGAAGAACAAAAAACTGAAATTATAAAAAAATATTTTCGCCTTACTTTACAAAGATGTGAAATGAAAAATAGACAACATGGGATGATATCACGACCGTTTGTAACAAATGGTTAGTAATATCCCTGTTACGGGTTTCAAACGCTGAAGAAACATTTGTAGCTTTCTCTCAAATCACATGAACAACGGTAAAACATCTCTTACACTTATAAAAGACAACTTTATCTTATAAACAAGCCATCATCTGAGTATTTACAATGTCTGTGTGATGCTCAATACAGCTACAGGGATTTATTTTGACCTGATCAGATATTCTGCCCAAACTCTTCTGCAGCAAACATTACAAAATTTGAATTGTCATGTCCCAATTCATGATATTATAGTCATAACTAATGCTGTGGCTTTGTAGATGGGACTTGTATTCACTGAAAACAAGCCTGATAACAAGGCAGAGGCTTTAATACTTAGTGTTACACGACTGCATTGAATGCAATGTTACAATACGTATGAACTTAAGAAAAAAGACCTTGAAAACAAATCCCAATATCATTACATATATTTCTCAATTTGGCTTCCAAAGGGACTTAGTTAAGAATCCGAGATAATCCCTGAGATAATCCTCAGGTATGGATAATCAAATGTGTATACTCACTCCTGGAGAGACACCCTTGGTGTGTACAGCTCTCCGTTACGCTGTTCCTTTGAGGAGTGCTTCGTCTAGTAAACAAGATTAATAAAAAAACTCAGCATCACTCAACAAAATAACAATAAACAATGAAGAATGTTCAGTGAGACCATGTGTTCTTATAGCTACACTTCATCAAGACCAGTGGTACAAGAACGTATCAGACGTTCATGCAGTTGCCCTCACTATATTAGTGAGTGAGTGAGTGGGTTTTACACCGCTTTTAACAGTATTCCAGTTATATCATGGTGTATCAGCTTAATGTGGGAGGAAAGACAGAAGTGATGCAGGTCTCAGCTGTTTACCACTTCGGTGAAACCCATGAACACGGGTATGGTGCTGACAAACCTAGAAACATAATCAGGGCGAACCAGGATTCGAACCCACAATCAGGTTTCTGGTGTGCCCAAGGGACGCAACTCTGCACTGCGAATTGCGGCACCTAAGACGACTGGGCCACCCCTGCCCCGCTCACTGTATTAAGTTTCATCATGAAATGAACTCACTCAAAGGGAAGTCAATTTGTAAGTAGAAATGTTGTAATACAACTATGTCAGAAGCAGTTTGGTACAATAACTCACATGGTAAATAGGATCCAGTGGTCTCTCAATAACAAGGATTTTGTAATGCTTGTATTCCTGGAATTAAAGGTGTTCAACATTCAGAAAGAGAAAGAGAGAAAACTTTTTTTATTTCCAATTTTTTTAATCCAGATGTTTGTTGGTTGTTTAACGTCACACTCAGCAATATTCAAGCTATGTGACGTTGACTTGTAAATAATCAAGTCTGGACCAGACAATCCAGTGATTGATATTGTGAGCACCGATCCTCGTCATCAGGGTACGATGACACGCAAACAACCAAGTCACTGAGCCTGACCACCTGATCCGTTTGGTCCCTCTTGTGACCAGCACAAGTTACTGGGGACTTATTCTAACCCGGAATCCCCTCTGGGTAGCTACACTTCTATGAGTTGTGTAAACTATGTACAGATGTTACCTTGTTATATGCTAACTCTTCATTCAGTATCTTTACAGTAATTTTCTCGGAGAAGCCTGAAAATAGACACAAAAATACCAAGAAGCCTTAGTTAAACATGCTGATTGAAAAGATAATTATTGGCGTGTTTGGTTAACATTTGATTCACACTATTTGTTTTTTGGTTTCAAGAGTAGTGAGTGAGTTTGGTTTCACGCCGCTTTTAACAGTATTCAAGTTGTATCATGTCGTGTCAGCATAATATAGGAGGAAAGCTCGAAGTGATGCAGGTCTCAGACGTTTACCATTTCGGTGAAACCCACAAGAATGGGTATGGTGCTGACAAACCTAGAAACATAATCGGGGCGAACCGGGATTCGAACCCACAATCATAGGTTTCTTGCGTGCCCAAGGGATGCAACTCTGCATAGCGAATTGCTGCGCCTTAGACGACTGGGCCACCTGTACCCCTGTTTCAAGAGTAATTCATGGACTTACTAACCTCAAAATCATGAGAATTAAAATTATTTTATCTGTAAACAAGTACTGATCGTACATGTCTTGTTTGATTGCAGAAAAACATTTAATAAATCAACATGGAAAAAACTATTGAAAATATCATACTACATATATATATATTACTTAGCATCTCAATAATAAAATTAATGAGAAGCGGTCTTTTAGGGGAGTCAGGGATAGACATGGCCATTAGTATGTTAGCATACAGCTGTAGTCCTGAGGCGGGTGAAAATCTGGCAAGAATACCAGGCACATGTTTCTCCCATCATCTAGATAAATGTCATGAATGGCTAATGCATGAGCAGAATTTAACTCCTGGCGTCTACTAGGGCTGGGATGTATACTTGGGCACTTGGTGGGTACTGAGTAGGACCCGGGCACCCACAGGACTACCCGGACCCGTGCTTAGTCACATGATATATTGTTAAATGAGTAATTCCATGGTTACATTAAAAGTCACTAATGTTCAGATTTCTTTCGGACTATTCACACATTCCTTCTGACTTTTATAGGTTTGAATGAAGACAGAGCTAAAGTCAGCTTCAGTGTACATAGTGTATGCATGACCAGATCATGTTAAAGTGTATCTAAATACTTTTTTCCAGGGCTCCCGTCAAACTATTTCCAAACGGACATTTTGTACCCATCTCCTGACACCTACAGCGAGTACCCGGGTACAGTCGGGTAATAGGGGGTCAGGTACCCAGGTCCGAGCCCTAGTGTCTACCCATTATATACAAATAAATAATGTTGGTCATGTACCGCCAAACATAATACGTCTATTAAGAATCTTGCAATGCCAATGGTTAAATAATGTGATAATATAGATAATATATAATAATATAGATGCCGAAATCATGTGACTGACACTGACCTCGAATATTTACACATCACAAGATTCGTTTTGACCTGTAACGTGATGAATATTGACTCATCTGCTAGAAAACAATATGGCATCTGGAACGAACATTTCACTGTTTATAACAAAATGATTACTTTTGATGAAGTCAATATGCCAGAACAAGGACCAGAGGACCGGACTCCTTTGCGGGCCTGACAACCTCGGGGATCGGGTCCTCGGGCCCTTGTTTTCGCATACTGACCTCGTCAAGAGTCATTATTTGTATAGTATGACTGGTGCAGTGTTACCTTCTCTAGTCTGTAGGACTCCGCCTCCTTCCTCAAGTAGCACCATCTTGCTGTGTGAGTTGATGGTCAGGTATTGCCTGCATAACCCACAGACAGGAATCAGCACACATGCAGGGTTTTACACGATGCAGAAACGTGCATCAAGGATGCACAAATTTACAGAATAGATGCAGAAATAAATATATATTGCATCCCGATAGCCTCATGAGAATATTCATTGTACCAAAGTCTTGACAAGAAATATAAACATGATAAAGTTCCTGTAATTTAAGTAATTATCAAATCTTACAGTGTGTTACACCATGTCATCACTTGACTGGACCCTTATATTTCCTGTAAGGACCCTTGAAATTAGTAATTCGGGGTCCTCTGGACCCCTAGTCTTGTAGGTCAAGGTAAAACCCAGCACAGGTGTATTTTAATATGGGAAATACCAACCCTGTCTTAGTAAACATGGTGTTTAGCACTATGATGTCACAATACAATGTTTGTTGTTTAACAACACACTCAGCAATATTCCTGCAATATGACAATCAACGGGATCGATGACCTGAATCAACCGAGTCAGCGAGCCTGACCACCCAATCCCGTTAGTCGCCTCTTACGACAAGCAAAAATCGCCTTATTACGGCAAGCATGGGTTGCTGAAGGCCTATTCTATCCCGGATCTTCACGATCTCACAATACAATGGATGATTTTGAGGCCCTAGCACTATGATGTCACCATGAAGTAACTATCCATGTCATATGCTTCTGTTTAGGGCTGGGACAATACACTAACTGTGCGATCTGACACGCATCACGATACCTTGCTCACGATCCGACATGTATCACGATACTTGTATGTGCTCTTATTGGTGGTGCGTAAGCCATCTTTTTCATAGACAGGATGGCCAAATACCTTGCACACTGATTATTTACAGTTAGCAGTGTCAAGTATGGCACAATTGAAGAAAATATTTACATTTTCACCACTAATTAGTGTTTGGTGTAACAGTTATTACGGTAAGAATCGCTATTTTTTTACTTAGTGTGTGACTGTGATCGATACTTGTATCGAGCAGTAAAAAAGTGTATCATCCCACTACTACTTCTGTTTCAACTGAACTCGCCTGGTCTGCAGAATGGGGATAGGCTGGTCTGCAGAATGGGGATAGGCTGGTCTGCAGAATGGGGATGGGCTGGTCTGCAGAATGGGGATGGGCTGGTCTGCAGAATGGGGATAGGCTGATCTGCAGAATCGGGATAGGCTGGTCTGCAGAATGGGGATGGGCTGGTCTGCAGAATGGTGATGGGCTGGTCTGCAGAATGGGGATGGGCTGGTCTGCAGAATGGGGATAGGCTGGTCTGCAGAATGGGGATGGGATGGTCTGCAGAATGGGGATGGGCTGGTCTGCAGAATGGGGATGGGTAACAACAAAATCAAAGGTGTTTTGATGAAGATCACACTTAAAATATTATTAATGCAGTATTGCCAAGCCAATAGCAAATCGATGTTGAGGAGAAAAGATACCTTTCAAGAACAGTATTCATACACAGCAAAAAATCCAGAAAATTTCCAGGATCCAAACCCAAATTTCAGACTGCAGCACAACAATCCATTCATTTCACAATTATGTATTCATCATGCATTAAGTAGGATATATGTTAACTGGGGAGTATAAAATTCTATTTACACAAAAAGTATCAAGTGTGTTCGGTTGTTGTTGAACACCACACTCAATATTCTTGCTATATGACGGCAGTCTGTAAATAATCACATTTGGACCAGACAAACCAGTGATTGACATCATGAGCATCGATCTATGCAATCTGGATACCATGACATGTATCAACTAAGTCAGCGAGTCTAACAACCTGATCCTATTAGTCGCCTTTTACGACAAGCATAGTTGCCTTTTACGGCAAGCATGGGTTGCTGGAGACTAATTCTAACTTCACGGAGGATAGTATCATGCCTACATCTGACACTTACCCTCTGAAATATGGAGATGTCCTCAGGATGTGGGTTTCTGTAGAAACAGACAAAAGCAAACATCATGAACCTAAAGACTGATGCCTTCAAGATCTGATTACCATGCTTCCTATTTAGCCATCATTGTCACATCAAGCATAGCCACTAGTCATCAAATAAGGCCACACTTTCTGTAACATATGGTATACAGATTTCGGCAAACCTGTTGGCTTGTGTTGGTTGAAATAAACATAAATATATAAACAAATCTGCTTAACTAAGGCATCACATTAGTATAACTGTATGACCGTATTCGACGTAACATGCACCCATGGCGGTCTCAAAATAAGAAATAGGGGGGCTCTTATTAGAATATAATTTTGGTGAAAGAGTTGAAAGATCGTAAATTTCGTGGTTTATGCTTACAACCTGAAATGATACAAAAGAAAAGTCTGTGCATATTATACACGACAGATGTATTTAATTTCCGTAATTAAGAATTTAATTTCCGTAATTAAGAATTTAATTTCTGTTATTAAGGGTGCATATAACACGCGAGTGCGTATTATACACGAATAAATAAGTCATGTGATCGATCGGAAGGGTGCTAATTGGGATTGTTCACTAGCCAAAATATATAGCAAATATCACCGTGGGCGCTTATTAGAGCGGGGCGCTTATTACGTCGAATACGGTAACATGAATTGGGAAATTGGAATTTCAATTTGGGATTATTTACTGCTGCAGACTTGGGGTCAAACATCAGCCTCTGAGCATGAATCCCTCCCCATGTTGAGTGAGTGAGTATGGTTTTATGCCGCTTTTAGCAATATTCCAGCAACATCACGACAGGGGACACCAGAAATGGGCTTCACACATTGTACCCATGTCGGGAATCGAACCCGGGTCTTCAGCGTGACGAGCGAACGCTTTAACCACTAGGCTACCCGACCGCCCCTCTCCCCATGTTGAAATTGGCAACACAGATCAGCTTGAAATGCAACACTTACCCACAAACTTCTGATTGATGGCTAATCCCTCCAGGGAGGAGGACAGTGGTACACAGATCAGGTGGCATTTCTCCTGGGCTCGCTCATACAGATCCAGGAATGTGGTCTGATGAAGAGAAACAATAAGATTGCAGCTCACTTATGTACATGAACACACAGCGTACTCAATATTGGTTTCTAAAACACAAGACATTGAACTCTTTGTGAAACATTCTGTAACATTTCAATTTTATTAACCTTTCATATCTTTGGTAAATTCCTGTTTTAATAAAATTTAAAGTCCAGGGTCACCTTCCACAAAGCAATCTTAGCACTAAGATGATCATAGAACTCCCATGCCTTTACATAAGCTTACGATAGTCGTAGCACTAAGATGATCATAACTCTCATGCTTTAACATACGCTTACGAAAGTCATAGCGCTAAGATGATCATAACTCCCAAGCTTTAACATATGCTTACGATAGTCATAGCACTAAGATGATCATAACTCTCATGCTTTAACATATGCATACAATAGTCATAGCGCTAAGATGATCGTAACTCTTACGCTTAAACATATGCTTACGATACTTGTATCACTAAGATGATCATAACTTTCATGTTTTAACATATGCTTATGATAGTTGTAGCACTAAGATGAAAATAACTTCCGGCTGGGCGGGAGGGTGGCAAAGCGAGTGAGAAATCAATATTCCAGCTATATCTTGCCAAGGCTGTAATGACACACTTCATGAAACTGTGTGATACGATAAATATCTCAAAAGTATTTTGAAAATACACTACAGATTACCTCCCTTTGCTTTGTGATTACAAGGTGTTTTGGTAATAGGGTGTACCTTGTAAATTGAAGGCATCACTAAAATCTCAAGGCAAAGGTGCAAATAAAGAATTACGTCCCTTTGAGGAATAGTAACTGTTTTTTTTGGTGCATGTCAAATAAACCTCAAAACACCAAGTACCGTATTTGACGTAATAAGCACCCAGGGCGCTCTCAAAAACAGAAAAAGGGGCTCTTATTAGAATATAGTTTTGGTAAGAAAATAAACAGAGATCAAAGATAGTTAATGTTGCTGTTTATGCTGACAACCTAATAAGATACAAAAGAAAAATCTGTGTGTATTATACACGACACATATATTTTCCGGAATTTAAATGCCCATAATATTGCATATAACACAGGAGTGCGTATTATGCACGAAAAAAAAAGTCTTGTGTACACTGATCAATCGGAAGGCGTGCTAATTGGGATTGTTTACTAGCCAATATATTAGCAAATATCACAGTGGGCACTGATTAGAGCGGGGTGCTTATTACGTCGAATACGGTATTCTGAGTGTAGCATTGAAATTTACATACGCCTTGAAATCTGGTGCTGTGTCCAGACCTGATAACTTACCAGTGTTTCCGGTCATATTTTTATCTGCCGGACAGATGAGCCGGCAATGTACCAAAATACCGGTCATTTGTGATTTTTGTCAGTCATTAATAAATTCAATAAAATACAACATAAAACATACTGACTTGTTTATTAAAATTTGCGTTTCTTTCTACGAAAGATCTTCGTAGCTTGTTTGACAGTATTGTTGACGTCTGCGTGTAGATTCAACAGCATCAGGTTGTTTATCCGTTGTTGGGAAAGACGATTGCGACTGGCAGAGTGTATCCTGTTTTGCAAACTGAATCCACGTTCAGCATCAACGCTGCTAACTGGGATAGCAAGTGCTATCGAGCACAGAGTGGAAAAGTCGGGATAAATATCTGAAAGTTCAGAAATCACTGTCTTGCAACTTTGTTCGAACGAGTCGGCTCCAATGTTGTTGACCGCCATCTTGAAGGGTGTGAAATCCTGCTGCGCCCGGATGCGATTGATGACGTCATTTTCAGCTGGACCAATCGGGAGGCAGAATTTGTCCAGTAATTTCTCGAGGGATTCCCTTCCGTGAGCTGTCAGTTCCTCTTGCGTTTGGGGAAATCGGCTTGGGTTGAGCACTTTGTCCAGACAAGTAACGATATCAGGCGAGTCATCCGGAAATCTTTTTCTCAGAGAGTTACAGAGTTCCTCAATAAACCCACAACGGGTTTTCACAAACGCACCGATAGATCGCGGGTCCCCATATGTGACCTGAATTCCACGAAATTCCCCGTTGTTCAAATTATCCAAGAAATGCTGTTCATTTTCACCTGCTGTGTTTTCTAGACTGGCAAGGGAGTCAATCGTAGAATTCACAATTGGCATAATCATGCCCAAGTTGATATTCTCTCTCTGAAAAAGAGTAACAATTTTGTCCATCACATGGAGCACGTCAGTCATCATGTAAGTAAGTCGGATAAAGGAGTACGTTCGAATTTTCTTCTGAATATTCGTGGCAACAGCGTTGTTTCGCTCGGCAGATTCCTCTTCAATTTCGAGAACAAGAGCTGGCCAGTTAGATTTCACTGCTTTGACCGCCCGTCCCACGGAAAGCCATCGAACACTGCATGGTTGTTTTAAACTTGAAAAGTCAGAATCTTCAAGGACCTCTGAAAGTTCTCGCAATCTGTTGTATCGCGTTGCTGAATATTCAAACAGTTTGTAGATATCATTCAATGTCCTTCTATAGTCCGCTACGACCTTCGAAATCTTCGCTGCATCGGCTGAAGCAAGTGCGACACGATGGGCTATGCAATGGACGTGCACAAGATATGAATTATGATCCTGCAACCTCTTCCCAACTCCTGAGTGTTTCCCGGTCATAACAGACGCACCATCCGATCCTAGACCGACCACTTTTTCCAAAGGAATGTTCCATTGAGGCAAAATTTCAAGAATTTTTTCCATGATACATTCGGCTGTACCACTATGAACTGAAAAATTTCCTAAAAACACTGTTTCTGCCTTTCCGTCGTTAACGATTTTCACAAACAATATAAGTTTTTTTTCAACCGTGATATTTACAGTCTCATCGATAATGAGTCCAATAAACTTGCTTTTTTCAAGTTTAGATTTTAAATGTTCGTTAGTACTCTCAACAAGTGCATTCTCCATCGCGTCTGTCGAGTCCGAATGAGTGTACGTTTCTCCCTGTAAATGTTCACATCCGTTCCGCTGCTGCAGTTCGATTAGTTTAGAAAACTTGGAGGTAGCAATATTTTCTTGAGACATGAATAAAACTGTGTTTAACATTGCTGTTAATTTCTCGTCAGATTTGTCTGCTGCCACCTCCATATGCGCTGCCATTGCATTTTTGTGATACATCGTTGTAACGGCCTGATGATGAGAGGCTCTGTCTCTATGATCTTTCAAAGCAGATTTCTTGAGATTAACATGATTAATACAACCTTTAGTGAAACCGTTAGATTTTTTTGCTGCCTCGCAGATTCGGCAAAATATTATGATTTTGTCGCCCTCCTCCTCAAAACGAAGCCACTTGAATTCATTCGACCACTCTGCATTAAACTTTCGCAGTACAGATTTCGTTTTCTTTTTCAAGTATGGTTCGCTAGGCATTGTGTCCGAAGATTTCGAGGTCGAGGGAGTGTTTGATTCAATACATTCGCTCGCGTCAGCCGCATGTTTCCGTTTCAGATTAGCACTAGACGTCTCCACCCCAAAGAAAGTGGAAAGATTCGTCTGCTTCGCCTTCGGCATGTTTAATCTCGTGCCACGAGGCGTCAGAGATCACGTGATTACCAACGTCATCTATCAAGACAATAATATCCAATCAAAGCGAAGCACGTTAACTGGTGCGGGATAGTCATGCTATTAATAGATGGGGGGTTCCCTGGAATGCGAGACAGACGCTTGCGTTTCTGTGTTTGATGAATAAAGCCTATCAATTTATATGAGGCAAGTAACTGTTGACATGATCATATCTTAAAACAAACAATGTTTTATCGGACATGGTAGCCGACAATGTTCATATTTATCAGCTTGTTGATATTTTTATCGGTAAAAAGCCGGCAATTACCGGAGAACGGAAACACTGCTTACCCTAACCCAAACACAGCTAATGCTAAAGGGGCCGTTGTTGTTACAGGTACTTCAGATATGTACCCTACATACAGAAATGTACCCTGGCCAAAATATGAATACAGAAAGGTACCCAAAATGAGTCCATTCCGCAGCAGGCTGTATAGCGCAATGCTCATAACTGGTTCCTTGAACGCTTACGTAAATGACATGTCCTGCATAACAAACCGCGGAAAATTCAACATGGCAGTATGCATTACATATTTTGTTCTCAGTATTTCCTTTCCATAAATAGACTGGAAATGTCATATTGTTGTATGCATTCCTGTGTGCTATATAAAAAAACAAGGAAACACAGTAATGTACGTACATTACTCAAATATCCCACAATGCACAGAATTATCCAGTATACACTCATCATCAGGCATACTAAGAACTACAACATGAACCTGTTTCGGTTTCGGGTTGAGGAATATGGACATGTTAAATGACGTAAAAACATGTTATTGCACTTATATAGCGACGTGCATGTACGTGTGTGTGTTTGTGTGGCTGCTTGTACTAGTCCGGACGGATGCCGATTTATAGTGCGAGCTCACTGAGATACCATGCCGCATTTTAACATGAATACCCCACTCAGACACAGTATACTGACTCAGAGCCGACCAGTCCTTGTTCTAGCCCCTTAATGCCGAGCGCCAGACAGGGTAACAACAAGTACCATCTTTTAACGTCGGGGATCGAACCGCGGACCTTCCGCTCTGCGGGCGGACGCTCTACCACTAGACCACGGAGGCGGTCTGATACGGACTGTACGTCACTATATACATCATTTTGGACACTTAAGATGAAGTTGTGAAGTCGTTAAAAACTGATGCATAAGACATGTTAAATGATGTAAAAACATGTTAGACGTTGTTTAAGAACGATTGGACGTCACTTTTATACATCATTTGGACATGTTAGATGACATTATGAAGTTGTCAAAAGAAATTAAAAAATCGCTTTAGACAATTACATGACTAGAAAACATCCTAGAAGTCGTTCGGGACCCAATGAACATGATATTCTACGTCATTTTGGACATGTTAGATGACGTTATGATGTTGTTAAAAACATGTCAAAAGTCCCTTTAGACACGTTAAATGACGTAAAAACATGTTATACATCATTTGAGACCGATTGAACATCAATTTAGGATTAGTCCATTCCCCCATCGGCCGTACTGCACATTGCGCTTCACTGTTTCCTTGAACGCTTACGTACGTGACATGTCCTAGTTGCCAAACTGCACTAAAATTCAACATGGGAGTATATTTTCTCTCGGTATTCCCTTTCCATAAATGGATCAAAACTGTAATACTGTCGTATGAGATGCATTCCAGTGTGCTGTATGAAAAACGAGGAAACACAGTGACAAAGGTACATTACTCTATTAATCCATGATGCACAGGATTCTCCAGCATGCATCGTCATCAGGCGAACCAGAGCTACAAACATGAACCGGTTTCGTGGTTTCATGTTGAGGAATTGGGATTCGTCTGCCTTCTGTATTCTGATTTCGGCTGGAGTACATTTCGTGTACAGAAACTTCAGCACAACTAACCCTAAGGATCGAATAGGCATGTGAGATCAGTGAAGCAAGATCTGTAACGCAAGAGTGGCACATAAGCTGCGCCTGGTAAACTGCATTGTTGCCATACACACTTGATCATGGCCACTTCAAATGCACTTTGTCAGTTTGATGAACATGTCATGAATGGAAAATAGAAAAAATATTCGTGTTCAGTGGTTGAAGTGTTTCCCCATTTTGAGAGAAAAACGCCATGTCCTTAATCACATACAAACGGTAAGGTGAGAGAACGGAACACTTACCGCAAAAATAACCCTGAGGGAGGAACATAACTTGACGAATATTTTTGACTGGTGACACCGATACTAGCATCACAGTGACAGTGCATGATAAGGCAAAATCACATCTAGGCCCTACACGACATAATATTCATAACAATTCGCGTGTTGCCCATTTTTATCAAAATAAATTGACCTGGGGGGAATATGGTATATAAGACTGAACTAATTTCACTCAGAGAATTAATTCTAACCTGAAGTGCTCGGAAAAAAGGATTGTTGTCGAGTTCATCATCGTCACAAGACATTTTCCGCTCGTGAAGTTTCACGCGACCAAGTTTCACGGCCTTTGCCTTTATGTTGCGTTGTATTTTCCCAACCACTCCCTACACATATATGTAATTTTCTCCGGGAGTTGCCTATCATAATTACCAAAACTACATATGAATTATTAACTTATTGTGTTTACATTGTATATGGATATTAAATATATTTATATTATAAAAGGTATGCCGTTTTTTTCTATTTGAAAGTAAATATTCTTTCGTAAAGCATAAGTTGTGAGGAATATAATATAAAAATTAGTCTCTAAACTAAAACACTTTGTATGATACAAATGCATTATTGAAGTTATATTTCTCTTAAATTGGTATTTTTCGTTCAACCTTTTAATTACCTCAAGAGCGGAAGTTGGGCTATTGTGACATGCCATAAAGCATCGGATGCGTATGTTTAGAGAGTTTTCAAAATGGCCGCCGTTTTGTGAAAAGTCAGTGCAAGTGTTACTTTTCTTCAATAAAGTGTACATAATGTTACGCTGAAATCTTGTGTTTACGTTTAATCAATGAATTGTGTTTAGAATCATGCTTATAAAGCACACAACTGATATTTTACTTGAGCGATGGTCTTTTTGATTATATTAATTGATGATCTTTGTGCTGGTTCAATGTAGATCCAAATGCAACTTTTCAACACCAAACAATATCTTATTTGTGAATATTGGTCACGTTAAGAGCATATTTTGTAGTTAACATAAATGGACATTTACTTATCTTGTGTGTATTGACATATATAAATTTACTGTTTGTTTTTTCTTAATGTCAATATATATTTTTCAAATGTAATGTCTAGGTAGCTTATGACAGTTTCAAAGTGACTGTTTGCTGATCACCGTACAACATATTATTAGGCTTTTTTTCTTTTTTTTCAAAAGTGTTATATTCGTGAATATCAGAAGCCTATGACTTATTGCATAAAAAATTATAAATGCATCTTGGATTTGGAAATCTGTTATACATTTTGTACAAGCAGCCTTTTCTGAAATGAAATAAATGTTATGCTTTTGAATGTTTTTTATTTGCAGTTGTGTTTATGACACAGAAGAAGAAAATGTGAACATCACTCCAGCATGAAGTCAGCGAATTTATGATTAGTTGTGGTAAAAGATCATAAATATGGCCACCAAACGGCCGGCAGATGATTCATCTGGGTCGGCTGGACCTGCCGCCAAAAAAGCTCTCACCAGAATTGAACCTCTCAAGATTGGTCCAATATCGAATCTGGTATGTTAATATTGTATATAAAAATATTGTGCATTGTCATTTTGTGCCAGATCGACACCCTAAGGCATACTCAAAGTGCTACCTTTCTCCAGTCAATGAAGTTTCAGATTAATATGAATAAGTGTCAATATGGTCAGGCAAACTTTGTCTGTGAAAGTGATAAGCTAGTCTTCAGTAATATAGGGCCAGAGACGAGGAGATCTATATTACTCAGGTCATTTTCTATAGGGATCAATGACCAGAAGCATTGAATAAGTGACCCCAGAAGATCTGTGTTAGAATAGGTCTTCAGCAACCCATGCTTGTCATAAGAGGCGACTATGCTTGTTGTAAGAGGCGACTAACAAGATTGGGGGATCAGGATCTCTGACTTGGTTGATCTATGTCATCGTATCCCAATTGCGTGGATCGATGCTCATGATGTCAAGCAATGGATTGTTTGGTTCCTGACTCAATTGTTTTTTCCTTGAATGAAAGAGTGAGTGAGTTGGGTTTAACACCGCTTTTAACAGTATTCCAGTTATATCATGGTGGGGATTTGAACCCACAATCATAGGTTTCTGGCGTGCCCAAGGGCGCCTTAGACGACTGGGCCACCCGTGCCCCCTCATTTCCTTGAAAATGATAAGCTTCAGAATGTAATTGCTATCTGATCATAATTGGGCTGGATTTTGAGATTGTGCAGTCATCACAGGTGCAATGTATGTTTTGTTTGTTTGGTAACTACATTTTGTATAATTCACCATTCAAATTACTGAAACAGTTTTGATGCAAATTGAATGTTTTCAGGAGGAACTGGATCTGAAAGTTTTAGTTTTTCAAAACAAGAAGTTAGCTGAAAGAATTGAACAGCGCAAGCGTGCAGAAAGTGAACTACACAAGAGAATCGAACAGCTGGAAAACCGACAACGCACAGATGATGCTGTACTGATGATAGTTAACAGATACTGGAATCAGGTGAGATTTGTAAACAGTGTTATCGTGTTTGTGGTAAGGGGGAAACGATACAGCTTGGACACGTTACATTGGTCACAATACGATACATATCACGATACTCATATTAACGTCAAATTGCTTGAAAAATGTCGACTTTTAATATTCAGAGCGGGGCGGTCGGGTAGCCTAGTGGTTAAAGCGCTCGCTCGTCACGCTGAAGACCCAGGTTCGATTCCCGACATGGGTACAATGTGTGAAGCCCATTTCTGGTGTCCCCTGCCGCGATATTGCTGGAATATTGCTAAAAGCGGTGTAAAACCTTACTCACTCACTCACTCACTCACTCACTCACTTATATTCAGAGCAGGTTCAAAAGGAAAAGCTAGCTGTATTCACATGGTTGTAGTGGCTATTTTTATTAGTGAACTTGAAATGCTAAATACAACACATTTCGCAGTATGGGAGATCATTAATCGAGGAGTAAGTAATATTCTAGCAAGTGTATCATCTTGTATCGATACAGAAAAAAACGTATCGTGTATCAATTCATTGCATGCAAACTCATGATGCACCTTACTTTGTACTGTCACTGGAACATGCCGTAGCTTACGGTCCTATTATTGTGACCAGACAATTGTGTGGCAGTGGTTCTGTTTCAAACCCACCTTAACTTTCCAATTAGAAATTATTAAATAAAATTCACAAGAGGAAGGGGGCACGGGTGGCCCAGTCATCTAAGGCGCCGCGATTCGCTGTGCAGAGTTGCGTCCCTTGGGCACGCCAGAAACCTATGATTGTGGGTTCGAATCCCGGTTCGCCCCAATTATGTTTCTAGGTTTGTCAGCACCATACCCGTGCTCGTGGGTTTCACCGAAGTTGTAAACGTCTGAGACCTGCATCACTTCGGGCTTTCCTCCCACATTAAGCTGACACGCCGTGATATAACTGGAATACTGTTAAAAGCGGCGTTAAACCCAACTCACTCACTCACTCACTCACAAGAGGAATCTCAGCACACATGGGTTCATTCACATACCACAATGTCCCACATAGACATCTGACAAGTCACACCAAACAGTTGTAATAAACAAAATGGCTGCTCTTCACAGAGCACTTCGCGTTCATATATCATTTCGCATCCTAAATGTAACACAGACATTAGACAATTCACGCTGACCACATGGAAAAGAAAACAAATTGCCACTCTTCACTTTGAGCATGTTGCACGCATTTATCCAATTCATACCATAAATGAGACACAGGTAATTTCCCTCACCAGTGGCGGTGTATACATAATACAGGCACCAACAACTCAGTGAGCCACAACAGTGTACCAGACCTCCAGATATTTTTTGAGCAATTGAGTTTTTACTCGAGGGTTTCTATTTTAATTGGGTTATACATATTTCATTGGGTAATTAATATTTTTCACTCATCTATTCATCACTCTATTGGGTATTTCCCAAAATTAGTGAACATTTTAAGATCTGAAAAAGACAAAATAATGTTTTAGATGTATATAACTGTTATAAATATATAGGCTTGACTCGGAAAGTGAATTAGCTCGTAATTGTGTTTCGGAAATTAGCTCCTTTGTACGCATGCTGAAAAAGCTTCATTGGGTATTTACGCGATCTGTTTTTATACATTTGAGTTTTTAATTTAATGCATGCATTTCTGTACGCAAGATAATTGAAAGTAATTGGGTTTTGAATATTTTGGGGGGTATTTTACGCAAATAACGCGGCTTATCTGTAGCTCTGGTGTACGTAGTTATCGAATATATTACCATAAACGAGTTACAAGCATTTGCAGGCTGGATAAACAACCACTTGGGCTTGGAATATGACACAAACAAAATGAACAATATATCTGCCCTACCCAAAACAAAAGTGGAAAAAGTAGTGAGACTGACTGACCAATAATTACCTTACAAGCAGCCCGATAAATTTGCCTGTTGCCCTAAGTCGCGTGTGACGTTATTGCAAAACTTCTGAGTAAGACTGTCATAACCACTCCACTATTCTGCTCATATAGTCAGCAAGGGAGGCAACTCCCCTTAATCTGGAAACTGGCTGTATAACGGCAACATGGTCCCAAACCGAATTAGCCACCACCTTGCCGCCCCCTTGGGAAGAAACGTGAGCTGAATGAAGGACCAAAATTAAAAGAGGGCCAAGCATCACCAATCGGTTTTTGTTACATAATCATTCTCATTGGGAATTATATAGCTCTTTGGGTATTCAATACAGTTTTACTCCCTTGTGTCCTGACCCGTGAAGATTCCGGGTAGAATAGGTCTTCAGCAACCCATGCTTGCTGTAAAAGGTGACTATGCTTGTTGTAAAAGGCGACTAATGGGATCGGGTGGTCAGGCTCGCTGACTTGGTGGATGCATGTCATTGATCCCAATTGTGTGGATTGATGCTCGTGATATTAATCACTGGATTGTCTGGTCCAGACTCGATTATTTACAGACCGCCTTCATATAGCTGGAATATTGCTGAGTGCGGCGTTAAACAACAAACCAACCAACCAACCATTGTGTTCTGTGTTTTAGGCGGTCAGACTCTGTGACTTGGTTAATTTCATGTCATCTTGCACCAATGGCATGGACGTTGCTCATAATATCAATCACTGGTTTGTCTGGTTTAGACTTGACTGATTACAGTCCACCATTATCATGCTGGAATGTTGCTGAATGCGGCATTAAACAAACAAACATTTGCTGTTAAATCTTACTTTTAAGATTTCTACAATGTTAACCTTTTAACATTCATGCTAACCATTACTCATGCATATGTTTTTAGCTTGATGAAGATGCACGTGTGTTGCTGCAGAGATTTGATGCTGAAACAGCTGATGAAAATGAAACCAAAAGTATGAACAGGTTTAAGATATTCTTAGTTCTCAAGACCAGTTTCATATGAAACCCCCAACAAGCTCGGACCTTTTACCATGTTTACACGTCTAATAGCACACTTTGATAATGGTACTGACATCAGTGGTAGTTCTAATTCAGTAACAGTTTTCACACTGTGGGGTATAACGGTGTAACTGGAATACTGTTCCATGCAGCCTGATCTACAAGTCACTCAATCAAGCAGATTAGGAACATATTATAGGACTACTGACTGTAATTGTTGATATGTCCAAAACTACAACACCTTCAGCATCATGGCCTGATCTCGATGTCATCCCAGGTTACAGTTGGACTTAAATTTGTTGCAGTTACTGTATCCCATCATGATACTACTCATAAGAAGTTAAAGAACGCCCATTGTTTCATGTGACTATGGTTAATCTGTCATGGCCATAAGAAGTTAGAACACCCATTGTTTCATATGCCTCGAGTTCATATGTCATGGCCATAAGAAGTAAATGAATGTGTAGTCATATGAAACAATGGGCAGTCTAACTTCTTATGGGCATGACAGATTAACCATAGTCATATGAAACAATGGGCAGTCTAACTTCTTATGGCCATGACAGATTAACCATAGTCATATGAAACAATGGGCGGTCTAACTTCTTATGGCCATGAAAGATTAACCATAGTCATATGAAACAATGGGCAGTCTAACTTCTTATGGCCATGACAGATTAACCATAGTCATATGAAACAATGGGCAGTCTAACTTCTAATGACCCTGACAGATTAACCATAGTCATATGAAACAATGGGCAGTCTAACTTCTTATGGCCATGAAAGATTAACCATAGTCATATGAAACAATGGGCAGTCTAACTTCTTATGGCCGTGACAGATTAACCATAGTCATATGAAACAATGGGCAGTCTAACTTCTTATGGGCATGACAGATTAACCATAGTCATATGAAACAATGGGCAGTCTAACTTCTTATGGCCATGAAAGATTAACCATAGTCATATGACTCATTGACTTGTTGATGCATGAAATTGTATGCTCATGATGTCAATCACTGGATGGTCTGGACCAGACTTAATTGTTTATGGACAGACTACCGTCATATAGCTGGAATATTGCTGAGTGCGGTGTTAAACAACAAAGAAACAATTAGCGTCAAACCCAACTTGCTCAGTCACTCCCATTAGTTAACAATCTTTTTATTTTTTATTTTATTTTTGTGTGTGTGTTTTTTTGTGTGTGTTTTTTTTTACATTCCCCCTTTCCCTGTTACATGAGGAGGATGGCCATCCAGGGCAATGGTCACCCTCACATTCTGAAGACAATGTATGTATACATTGGTAAAAATTAAATACAAGTTAACAATCTTGACAGGGAGGAAAAAGGAGGACAACATACAAATAAAAATTGTATTCCAATTTCTGGGGGGCATGAAGAAACCCTGTAAGGGAATGTGTCATGGCATCAGCTCGTTTTCTTCGTCCCCATAGATGAGAGTGATGAGACGACAGCGTTCCTTGCCCTGCTGTCCACCTGGGACAAGCAGGAGCTGGAGGAGAAGCTGAGCCAGAGGGTGGAGTTCTCTAAGCGAGCCATCGGCAAACTGCTCCAGGCCTTCGACAGACTGCTGCAGAGGAACGAGAAGCTGCACAAGGTGCTGGAGAACAAGGCCGAGAAGGACAAGGAAGACTTGCTGGGGGTCGTTGTGAAACCGACCAAGGAGTCCGATGAGGAGGAGGAAGAGAAGGGTAGGACATGTTTGCTTATTGTTTATAGCCACAGTCATCAGTGTACCAGTTTTATGGAGGCCTGTGAAAATCGAACTGGGACAGACTGACCAGTGATTGATCAACCGAGTCACTGATTGTGACCATTCGATTATGACATGCCTTGTATGACAAGCAGAGGTTACTGGGGTCTATTCTAAGCTTGAATCCCCAGAGGGTCAAGACATTGTCAGTATTCAAATTAAAGCGATCTGCTAGGAAAATATATATAAGTGTTAGCAGCATTCCCAATACTTCAAGTATGAAGAGGACCTTTGAAAGTTGCTAACATATAAAAGGTTTTGTACATCATCATGAGGACAAGGAGTTAATCCCATGGAAATTTGGGGTCAGACTCAGGGTAGGTCCTCAGTATCCCAGTGCTTCCTATAAGAGTGAGTGAATTGGATTTTACGCCACTTTTAGCAATATGTTGTCAATATCATGGCAGGGGAAACCAGAAATGAGCTTCACACATTGTACTAATGCGAGTAGTCAAACCCTGTTTTTGGCATCATGAGCGAACACTACTCCACAGGCTACACAATTTGGCACCAAATGTAGAATTTAGTCTCATAGCAAAACAAAACGTCTATCTACGATGCTGATACGTAAGGTTGGAGCTGCTGTTTCAACAAGCAGTGAAACCTGTTTAATCTGGACAAAACCTTCACCAAAAAGTGCTCTAGATTATAAGGTTTCATGACTAAGGAGTCACGAGTTCGTAATGTCAAATTCCGTTTTAAAGACATTCTCAGCAGTAGTCGTCCAGAAGACCTGGTATTAACAGAGTCCTGACTAGCAAGGTTTAAGGTCATGTTGTACTGTGCATGTTGTCGTGTGCAGATGATGACAAGGCTGATGGGGACAAGAAGGAGGAGGAGGAGGATGGGAAGGAAGACGAGACACAGAAGAAGCTGGCGGAAATTGAATGCATGGTGAAGGAGGAACTGGACCATCTGCGAAAGGAAAACAAACAGCTGCACAACCTCGTTACGAATCTGCATCAGCGTCACCACGAACATACACTCAAAGTAAGTCAGTGCTGATGATGATAAAAATGTGTACCCATGTGCTAAACACCTTGAGATCAAGCCATACTGTTTTTCAGTCTTAAGCTAAGCTTGCTACTGTATCACCAAAGAAAGATTATTAGATCCTGGCTGGTGGTGAAAGTGGCAGAATGTGTATGTGTATTATGTTGTCATGGTTATTGTCATTGCTTGCTAGCCTTGAGGTGTCATAGTCTGTGACTTCAGCCACAGTTTGAGGCCAGTAAACGTCTGTTCGGTCCAATAAGCTCCACTGATAATAGTCCACATAATCATAATAATAACAGGGGGCACGGGTGGCCCAGTCGTCTAAGGCGCCACAATTCGCTGTGCAGAGTTGCGTCCCTTAGGCACACCAGATACCTATGATTGTGGGTTCGAATCTCAGTTTACCCGATTATGTTTCTAGGTTTGTCAGCACCATACCCGTGCTCGTGGGTGGTATCATCGAAGTGGTAAACGTCTGAGACCTGCATCACTTCGGGCTTTCCTCCCACATTAAGCTGACACGCCGTGATATGACTGGAATACTGTTAAAGCAGCGTTAAACCCAACTCACTCACTCACTCACTCACTCACTCACTCACTCACTCACTCACTCCTGAAAATGATGCCGAGAGAGATGTTCAGGTAGTAGTCTCGAAAGGGTCTGGCACAGACTGAGACAGTGGTCTTGTATACCAAAATGGTGTGCAGGATAGGCTGATCATGGGTTCAAACTCCAGATTCTCCCCCTTTTTGCTCCTGGTACTGTCATACTCGGTTTTAGGTTTAAAGTAAAAACCTGTTTTCGGCATCAGTCACTTTGTCCTCACACGTAAATCTAACGTGCCATGCTATCACTGAAATAACGTGACAGCAATGTTAATCTTAACTCAGGCACCGCTAGCCTGTACTTTCTTTCATTGGTAATGGGAGAATGGAGTTATTTTAATAAAAATCCTTACAGCTTTCAATAAAGTGATGTCAGTGGTACAATACCCGTGAAGAACCGGAGTAGAATAGGTCTTCAGCAACCCACGCTTGCCGTAAGAGGCTACTATGCTTGTCGTTAGAGGCGACTAACGGGATCAGGTGGTCAGGCTAGCTGACTTTGTTGATGCATGTCATCGATTCCAATTGTGTGGATCGATGCTCAAAGTGTCAATCACTGGATTGTCTGGTCCAGACTTGATTATTTACAGACCACCGTCATATAGCTGGAATATTGCTGAGTGCAGCGTTAAACAACAAACCAAACAAACAGTGGTACAAATGTTGCTTTGTCTTGGTGTGAGTAATATTGACAGAACATGTTTAATAAAGTTCATTGTATGCTGCAATTCTCTTTGTCTTCTATCTGTTTGGAGTAGCCTGTGAGTCGAATAATAATTGTGAAAAGCTTATGTATCTGTATACACTATAGTTTCTGGTACAAAATTGATGATGGAACTATTTCACTCACTGCACCAAGTTGAACATACTGTCACCTTGCCATCTTCCCGAGGCAAGAGAGTTAACTGACTATAAAAGTCCAGTTTGCACCCTTGCCGAATTAGGCTAGTATTATGTTACGTTTTGGCTGGACTAACGAGTCTATGCGTAGTCCAATCAGAAAACGCGCAATGAAATCGTAATCCGGTTAGTAAACTGCCGTGCAGATTTCGGTCGTTTGCAGGATTTGTAAAGCATGTGCACCGCCAACTCGTTGTCAACAGAAATTTTCCAAGTCTTTTCATGGTTGTGATCAAGGTGCTCATGTGATTTAATGCACTTCGAGATGTAAGACCCGTTTTATCACAATATATATCTTGATTATCGATCAGATCGTCTTGACTGGGCGCCGCCATTTCGTTTGAAACAAATGTAAGTGATACAAGAGGTGGAATCTGATTGGGCCATAGGAGAGGCTTAAAAGGGACATAACTCGTAATAACCACTGGTGGCGCTACGATCGAGCCCAGGAATTCCAGCCTAGTTTGGCAAGGGTGGAAACTGGACTTTTAAAGTCCCTTGCCTCGGGAAGATGTCACCTTCCTCGCACCAGTTGTTTTAGAATATTTGCCAAACTACCATTTGTATATTGATGAAATAATGTAACTAGATGGCCAACAACTGGTTCTATGTGAACAATGTTATTTCCTTCACCTGTTGTAGATCTCAGAGCTTCAAGATCAGGTGACTGCGTCCGAGACTGAGATTGCAGAGATGAAGAACAAGGTGGATGATCTGGACTATCAGTTTGAGAAGGCGGATCAGCGGTGCGAGAAACTGGACCGACATTTGTCGGAAGCCTTCTCCAAGCTGAGGAACTATGAGGAGACGACTGGAGCCATCACTGTCGAGGGCATCAAGAGTATCGGAGGCGTCTCCAAAACCAGGGTAGGTTGTCCCTGAATAACACCGGTTGACGCACATGTTCACAGATCAAATCTTAAGCTAGCTGGCCTGATGTAAGAGCCAATTACAATGAGTAAGTGACACTGTATGACCTGGCTGATTGTGTGACGTCACACCTTGATGTGTGGATCAGGTGGCTGGGTCATCTAAGATGCTGCAGTTCTTGGTGCAGAGTTTCATCCCTTTGCAGTGCCAGGATCCACTGATCATAAGTTCACTCCAGTTATAATCCTTGGTTTGTCAGAAACTAACAAAAGCTTATAGGTTTCACCAAGGTGGTGAACTTCTAAGGCCTGCATCACTTGAAAGCGTTTAACATATGATAGTTTGACTTATTTGACTGTGTGTGTTGTAGTGTCCACAGCTTGTTTGACTGAGTGTGTTATGGTGTCCACAGCTTGTTAGACCGAGTGTGTTGTGGTGTCCACAGCTTGTTTGACCGAGCGTGTTTTGATGTCCACAGCTTGTTTGACTGAGTGTGTTGCGGTGTCCACAGCTTGTTTGACTGAGTGTGTTGTGGTGTCCACAGCTTGTTTGACCGAGTGTTTTGTGGTGTCCACAGCTTGTTTGACTGAGTGTGTTGTGGTGTCCACAGCTTGTTTGACTGAGTGTATCGTGGTGTCCACAGCTTGTTTGACTGAGTGTGTTGTGGTGTCCACAGCTTGTTTGACTGAGTGTGTTGTGGTGTCCACAGCTTGTTTGACTGAGTGTGTTGTGATGTCCACAGCTTGTTAGACTGAGTGTGTTGTGATGTCCACAGCTTGTTTGACTGTGTGTGTTGTGCCGTTCACAGCTTGTTTGACTGAGTGTGTTGTGTCCACAGCTTGTTTGACCAAGTGTGTTTTGATGTCCACAGCTTGTTTGACTGAGTGTGTTATGGTGTCCACAGCTTGTTTGACTGTGTGTGTTGTGATGTTCACAGCTTGTTTGACCAAGTGTGTTGTGATGTCCACAGCTTGTTTGACTGTGTGTGTTGTGATGTCCACAGCTTGTTTGACTGTGTGTGTTGTGATGTTCACAGCTTGTTTGACCAAGTGTGTTGTGATGTCCACAGCTTGTTTGACCAAGTGTGTTGTGATGTCCACAGCTTGTTTGACTGTGTGTGTTGTGGTGTCCACAGCTTGTTTGACCGAGTGTGTTGTGATGTCCACAGCTTGTTTGACTGTGTGTGTTGTGATGTTCACAGCTTGTTAGACCGAGTGTGTTGTGATGTCCACAGCTTGTTTGACTGTGTGTGTTGTGATGTCCACAGCTTGTTTGACTGTGTGTGTTGTGGTGTCCACAGCTTGTTTGACTGTGTGTGTTGTGATGTTCACAGCTTGTTTGACCAAGTGTGTTGTGATGTCCACAGCTTGTTTGACCAAGTGTGTTGTGATGTCAACTGCTTGTTTGACTGTGTGTGTTGTGGTGTCCACAGCTTGTTTGACCGAGTGTGTTGTGGTGTCCACAGCTTGTTTGACTGTGTGTGTTGTGATGTCCACAGCTTGTTTGACTGAGTGTGTTGTGGTGTCCACAGCTTGTTTGACTGAGTGTGTTGTGGTGTCCACAGCTTGTTTGACTGAGTGTGTTGTGGTGTCCACAGCTTGTTTGACCAAGTGTGTTGTGATGTCCACAGCTTGTTTGACTGAGTGTGTTATGGTGTCCACAGCTTGTTTGACCAAGTGTGTTGTGGTGTCCGCAGTTGTTTGACCGAGTGTGTTGTGATGTCCGCAGTTGTTTGACCAAGTGTGTTGTGGTGTCCACAGCTTGTTTGACTGAGTGTGTTGTGGTGTCCACAGCTTGTTTGACCGAGTGTGTTGTGATGTCCACAGCTTGTTTGACTGAGTGTGTTGTGGTGTCCACAGCTTGTTTGACTGAGTGTGTTGTGGTGTCCACAGCTTGTTTGACCGAGTGTTTTGTGGTGTCCACAGCTTGTTTGACTGTGTGTGTTGTGATGTTCACAGCTTGTTTGACCAAGTGTGTTGTGATGTCCACAGCTTGTTTGACCAAGTGTGTTGTGATGTCCACTGCTTGTTTGACTGTGTGTGTTGTGGTGTCCACAGCTTGTTTGACCGAGTGTGTTGTGATGTCCACAGCTTGTTTGACTGAGTGTGTTGTGGTGTCCACAGCTTGTTTGACTGTGTGTGTTGTGATGTCCACAGCTTGTTTGACTGAGTGTGTTGTGGTGTCCACAGCTTGTTTGACTGAGTGTGTTGTGGTGTCCACAGCTTGTTTGACTGAGTGTGTTGTGGTGTCCACAGCTTGTTTGACCAAGTGTGTTGTGATGTCCACAGCTTGTTTGACTGAGTGTGTTATGGTGTCCACAGCTTGTTTGACCAAGTGTGTTGTGGTGTCCGCAGTTGTTTGACCGAGTGTGTTGTGATGTCCGCAGTTGTTTGACCAAGTGTGTTGTGGTGTCCACAGCTTGTTTGACTGAGTGTGTTGTGGTGTCCACAGCTTGTTTGACCAAGTGTGTTGTGATGTCCACAGCTTGTTTGACTGAGTGTGTTATGGTGTCCACAGCTTGTTTGACTGAGTGTTTTGTGGTGTCCCCAGCTTGTTTGACTGAGTGTGTTGTGGATTCCACAGCTTGTTTGACCAAGTGTGTTGTGGTGTCCGCAGCTGTTTGACCGAGTGTGTTGTGGTGTCCACAGCTTGTTTGACTGAGTGTGCCGTGGTGTCCACAGCTTGTTTGACTGAGTGTGTTGTGGTGTCCACAGCTTGTTTGACCAAGTGTGTTGTGGTGTCCGCAGTTGTTTGACCGAGTGTGTTGTGATGTCCGCAGTTGTTTGACCAAGTGTGTTGTAGTGTCCACAGCTTGTTTGACTGAGTGTGTTGTGGTGTCCACAGCTTGTTTGACCAAGTGTGTTTTGATGTCCGCAGTTGTTTGACCGAGTGTGTTGTGGTGTCCGCAGTTGTTTGACCAAGTGTGTTGTGGTGTCCACAGCTTGTTTGACAGAGTGTGTTGTGATGTCCGCAGCTTGTTTGACCGAGTGTGTTGTGGTGTCCACAGCTTGTTTGACCAAGTGTGTTGTGGTGTCCACAGCTTGTTTGACCAAGTGTGTTGTGATGCCCACAGCTTGTTTGACCGAGTGTGTTGTGGTGTCCACAGCTTGTTTGACCGAGTGTGTTGTGATGTCCGCAGCTTGATGAGATCCTGTCGGAGCTGGAGGAGCAGCGAGAGCTGGCCACAAACCGGCTGAGTGAGCTGGAGAAGCTGAACAAGGATCATCAGGAAGCCTGCAAGGAGGTGGAGAAACTCAAGATGGATGTAAGAGCCGCTGGCGTTATGGCCTTGTTCAGTACACATGCCCTCTGCTCGGGAATTCTAAAATGTGTCCCTCAATTTGATTTGCTGAAAACTGTTGTTAACTTTGCAATCTTTGGGACTTTCCATTGCATCTTGAAACTTTTTTTTGTATTACTGGGCATAAGTAAGTTTTTCTCTGTCCAAGATTTGAAAAATGAAAATTTCAGGGTGGTGACTTTTAGTACGAACAAAACAAGTTCCAGCTAACCAAAAATTTGAGTTATCACAGGTCAAATGGAGATTAAAGGTATTTGATGGGACCATACAATCAGTCTGATACAACTGAGAATTTGAAAAATCAAAGTTAGACATACAGTTCAAATTTATTGTTGGAATCCGGGTAAAACATCTCAAGCAAGGGTCCAACCTTGTAACCCCATCATCTTTGTGCTCTGTTACAGCTGCAGCACCTGCCTGAGGCAGTGATCATCGAGACGACAGAGTACAAATGTCTTCAGTCCCAGTTCTCGGTGCTGTACAATGAGAGCATGGCAATCAGAACACAGCTGGAAGATGTGCGCAACCAACTCCAGAACAACAAGAACGGGCATCTGCGTCACATTGAACAGATGGAGGTACGTGTCCTTGTAGCACCGGCATTCACTTGCTGCTTGACGTTATTTATGTGGTAGTTAATGGATGGGACTGTAAGTTTGCTTTGGTAAGACCTTATTTTAGGTTGATTTTTCTTATTATTGTAAGTTTTGCGTTATTTTAAGGGTTGTGTTATTTTAAGGGTTGTGTTTTATGAGGATTGAGTTATATGAACATGATGGAAGGTTTTGTTATGTAAATAGTTGTGTTGAGGAGGGTTGTGTTATGTGAATGTTTATAAGGAGGTTTGTGCCATTGAGGGTTGTGTTATGCGGATGTTTGTGTTACGTGGAGAATGGCGTTATGTTGAGGATTGTGTTGTGTTTTATGGGGGGTTGTTATATGAGGGGTTGTGTTATTTAAGGCTGTTATGGAGGATGAAGTTGTGTGTAGGGAAATTTGAAGGGTAATGTTATCATGAAGTTGGTGTTATGTGGAGGGTGGTGTTTTTTGAAGGGTTGTGTTATGTGAGGGGTTGTGTTATGTTAGGAGTTGTGTTATGGAGGATTGTGTTATGTGGAGGGTTGTGGTCTGTGGAGGGTTGTGTGATATGAAGAGTTGTGTTATGGAGGGTTGTGTTACATGAAGAGTGGTGTTATGGAGGGTTGTGTTATGTGGAGGGCTGTTTAACAAGAAGGATTGTGTTACATGAAGGGTTGTGTTATGGAGGATTGTGTTATGGAGGATTGTGTTACATGAAGGGTTGTGTTATGTGGAGGGTTGTGTTACATGAAGGGTTGTGTTATGGAGGGTTGTGTTATGTGGAGGGTTGTGTTACATGAAGGGTTGTGTTACATGGAGGGTTGTGTTATTGGAGGTTGTGTTACATGAAGGGTTGTGTTATGGGAGGTTGTGTTACATGAAGGGTTGTGCTATGGAGGGTTTGGTTACATGGAGGATTGTGTTATGGAGGGTTGTGTTACATGAAGGGTTGTGTTACATGGAGGGTTGTGTTATGGAGGATTGTGTTACATGAAGGGTTGTGCTATGGAGGGTTTGGTTACATGGAGGATTGTGTGACATGAAGGGTTGTGTTATGGGAGGTTGTGTTACATGAAGGGTTGTGCTAAGGAGGGTTTGGTTACATGGAGGGTTGTGTTATGGGGGGTTGTGTTATGTGGAGGGTTGTGTTACATGAAGGGTTGTGTTTTGGAGGGTTGTGTTATGGAGGGTTGTGTTACGGAAGCTTGTGTTACATGGAAGCTTGTGTTATGGAGGATTGTGTTACATGAAGGCTTGTTATGGGAGGTTGTGTTACATGAAGGGTTGTGTTATGGGAGGTTGTGTTACATGAAGGGTTATGCTATGGAGGGTTGTGTTACATGGAGGGTTGTGTTATGTGGAGGGTTGTGTTACATGGAGGGTTGTGTTACATGGAGGGTTGTGTTATGGGAGGTTGTGTTATATGGATGGTTGTGTTGCAGAGTGATGAGCTGGCGTGCCAGAAGAAGCTGCGGACGGAGATGATACAACTGGAGGACATGCTGGCACAGCTGCGGAAGGAGTACGAGATGCTGCGGATAGAGTTTGAACAGACACTTGCAGCTAATGAACAGACAGGTAAGGTTTACACAGATTACACACTCATTCTTTCAGTCAGTTGTTTACCTGGCCCAGAATGAGTTGTTCACCTGGCCAGGTTGAGTGGTTTACCATTTAATTAAGAATACGTTTTACCTTAGGGATAAGTTGGGGATTTAATAGCTGGACAAACAACGTACAGCGTGGGTGACGCCATTTCTTGCAAATACGAAAACAACGGAGATAGCTCCCGTTTGAAATTAGAGTTACCTCCCTTTCCCAATATAAACCACTGATAATGCGGTTTCGCCTTACCTGGCCCTGATTCAGTGGTTTACATGACTCAGATTGAGTGGTTTACCTGGCCCAGATTGAGTGGTTTACCTGGCCCAGATTGAGTGGTTTACCTGGCCCAGATTGAGTGGTTTACATGACCCAGATTGAGTGGTTTACCTGGCCCAGATTGAGTGGTTTACATGACCCATATTGAGTGGTTTACCTGGCCCAGATTGAGTGGTTTACCTGGCCCCGATTGAGTGGTTTACCTGACCCAGATTGAGTGGTTTACATGACCCAGATTGAGTGGTTTACCTGACCCAGATTGAGTGGTTTACATGACCCCGATTGAGTGGTTTACATGACCCCGATTGAGTGGTTTACCTGGCCCAGATTGAGTGGTTTACCTGGCCCAGATTGAGTGGTTTACATGACCCCGATTGAGTGGTTTACCTGGCCCAGATTGAGTGGTTTACCTGACTCAGATTGAGTGGTTTACATGACCCAGATTGAGTGGTTTACCTGGCCCAGATTGAGTGGTTTACCTGGCCCAGATTGAGTGGTTTACATGACCCCGATTGAGTGGTTTACATGACCCAGATTGAGTGGTTTACCTGGCCCAGATTGAGTGGTTTACCTGGCCCAGATTGAGTGGTTTACCTGGCCCAGATTGAGTGGTTTACCTGGCCCAGATTGAGTGGTTTACATGACCCCGATTGAGTGGTTTACCTGGCCCAGATTGAGTGGTTTACCTGACTCAGATTGAGTGGTTTACATGACCCAGATTGAGTGGTTTACCTGGCCCAGATTGAGTGGTTTACCTGGCCCAGATTGAGTGGTTTACATGACCCCGATTGAGTGGTTTACATGACCCAGATTGAGTGGTTTACCTGGCCCAGATTGAGTGGTTTACCTGGCCCAGATTGAGTGGTTTACATAATCAAGATTCAGTGATTTACATGACTCAGATTCAGTGGTTTACATAATCAAGTATAAGTGGTTTACATGACCCAGGTTGAGTGGTTTACATGACTCAGATTCAGTGGTTTACATGACCCAGATTCAGTGGTTTACATGACTCAGATTGAGTGGTTTACATGACCCAGATTCAGTGGTAAACATGACCCAGATTGAGTGGTTTACATAATCCAGATTCAATGGTTTACATGACTCAGATTGAGTGGTTTACATGACTCAGATTGAGTGGTTTACATGACCCAGATTCAGTAGTTTACATGACTCAGATTCAGTGGTTTACATGACCCAGATTCAGTGGTTTACATGACTCAGATTGAGTGGTTTACATGACCCCGATTGAGTGGTTTACATGACCCCGATTGAGTGGTTTACATGACTCAGATTGAGTGGTTTACCTGGCCCAGATTGAGTGGTTAACCTGGCCCAGATTGAGTGGTTTACCTGGCCCAGATTGAATGGTTTACCTGGCCCAGATTGAGTGGTTTACATGACCCCGATTGAGTGGTTTACCTGGCCCAGATTGAGTGGTTTACCTGGCCCAGATTGAGCGGTTTACATAATCAAGATTCAGTGATTTACATAACTCAGATTCAGTGGTTTACATAATCAAGATTAAGTGGTTTACATGACCCAGATTGAGTGGTTTACATGACTCAGATTGAGTGGTTTACATGACCCAGATTGAGTGGTTTACATGACTCAGATTGAGTGGTTTACATGACCCAGATTGAGTGGTTTACATAATCCAGATTCAGTGGTTTACATGACTCAGATTGAGTGGTTTACATGACTCAGATTGAGTGGTTTACATGACCCAGATTCAGTGGTTTACATGACTCAGATTCAGTGGTTTACATGACCCATATTCAGTGGTTTACATGACTCAGATTGAGTGGTTTACATGACCCCGATTGAGTGGTTTACATGACCCCGATTGAGTGGTTTACCTGGCCCAGATTGAGTGGTTTACCTGGCCCAGATTGAGTGGTTTACCTGGCCCAGATTGAATGGTTTACCTGGCCCAGATTGAGTGGTTTACATGACCCCGATTGAGTGGTTTACCTGGCCCAGATTGAGTGGTTTACCTGGCCCAGATTGAGCGGTTTACATAATCAAGATTCAGTGATTTACATAACTCAGATTCAGTGGTTTACATAATCAAGATTACGTGGTTTACATGACCCAGATTGAGTGGTTTACATGACTCAGATTGAGTGGTTTACATGACCCAGATTGAGTGGTTTACATGACTCAGATTGAGTGGTTTACATGACCCAGATTGAGTGGTTTACATAATCCAGATTCAGTGGTTTACATGACTCAGATTGAGTGGTTTACATGACTCAGATTCAGTGGTTTACATGACCCAGATTCAGTGGTTTACATGACTCAGATTGAGTGGTTTACATGACCCCGATTGAGTGGTTTACATGACTCAGATTGAGTGGTTTACATGACCCCGATTGAGTGGTTTACATGACCCCGATTGAGTGGTTTACATGACTCAGATTGAGTGGTTTACATGACTCAGATTGAGTGGTTTACATGACTCAGAATCAGTGGTTTACATGACCCAGATTGAGTGGTTTACCTGGCCCAGATTAAGTGGTTTACCTGGCCCAGATTGTGTGGTTTACATGACTCAGATTGAGTGGTTTACATGACTCAGATTGAGTGGTTTACCTGCCCCAGTTAAAGTGGTTTACATGACCCTGATTGAGTGGTTTACATGACTCAGATTAAGTGGTTTACCTGCCCCAGATTGAGTGGTTTACATGAATCAGATTGAGTGGTTTACCTGGCCCAGATTGAGTGGTTTACCTGGCCCAGATTGAGTGGTTTACCTGGCCCAGATTGAGTGGTTTACCTGGCCAAGATTGAGTGGTTTACATGACCCAGATTGAGTGGTTTTACATGACACCGATTGTGTGGTTTACATGACTCAGATTGAGTGGTTTACATGACCCAGATTGAGTGGTTTACCTGGCCCAGATTGAGTGGTTTACTTGGCCCAGATTGAGTGGTTTACATGACCCAGATTGAGTGGTTTACCTGGCCCAGATTGAGTGGTTTACCTGGCCCAGATTGAGTGGTATACCTAGCCCAGATTGAGTGGTTTACATGACCCAGATTAAGTGGTTTACATGACCCAGATTGAGTGGTTTACTTGGCCCAGATTGAGTGGTTTACATGACCCAGATTGAGTGGTTTACCTGGCCCAGATTGAGTGGTTTACCTGGCCCAGATTGAGTGGTTTACCTGACCCAGATTGAGTAGTTTACCTGGCCCATATTAAGTGGTTTACATGACCCAGATTGAGTGGTTTACCTGGCCCAGATTGAGTGGTTTACATGACCCCGATTGTGTGGTTTACATGACTCAGATTGAGTGGTTTACCTGGCCCAGATTGAGTGGTTTACATGACCCCGATTGAGTGGTTTACATGACTCAGATTGAGTGGTTTACCTGGCCCAGATTGAGTGGTTTACCTGGCCCAGATTGAGTGGTTTACATGACCCCGATTGTGTGGTTTACATGACTCAGATTGAGTGGTTTACCTGGCCCAGATTGAGTGGTTTACATGACCCCGATTGAGTGGTTTACATGACTCAGATAGAGTGGTTTACCTGGCCCAGATTGAGTGGTTTACCTGGCCCAGATTGAGTGGTTTACATGACCCAGATTGAGTGGTTTACATGACCCAGATTGAGTGGTTTACCTGGCCCAGATTGAGTGGTTTACCTGACCCAGATTGAGTGGTTTACATGACCCAGATTGAGTGGTTTACATGACCCAGATTGAGTGGTTTACATGACCCAGATTGAGTGGTTTACCTGGCCCAGATTAAGTGGTTTACCTGGCCCAGATTGAGTGGTTTACATGACCCAGATTGAGTGGTTTACCTGGCCCAGATTGAGTGGTTTACATGACCCAGATTGAGTGGTTTACATGACCCAGATTGAGTGGTTTACATGACTCAGATTGAGTGGTTTACCTGGCCCAGATTGAGTGGTTTACCTGGCCCAGATTGAGTGGTTTACCTGGCCCAGATTGAGTGGTTTACCTGACCCAGATGAAGTGGTTTAACTGACTCAGATTGAGTGGTTTACATGACCCAGATGAAGTGGTTTACATGACCCAGATTCAGTGGTTTACCTGGCCCAGGTTGAGTGGTTTACCTGGCCCAGGTTGAGTGGTTCACCTGGCCCAGATTGAGCGGTTTACCTGGCCCAGATTTGAGTTATTTCCAGGCCACTATAATATGACTGGAAAAAAGGTGACTTCAGTGTCATACAACAAGCATGCAAAAGTTATGATGGCAATGTCGGTAGTTTCCTAATGTCTAATGATCTCCCAGAGTTGGCATGCTTGTTGAGTTACTGTTAACTTTATGACCATCACAGCACATCCTCTGTTCCTTCACAGGGGCGGTCGGGTAGCCTAGTGGTTAAAGCGTTCGCTCGTCACACAGAAGACCCGGGTTCCATTCCCGACATGGGTACAATGTGTGAAGCCCATTTCTGGTGTCCCCCGCCATGATATTGCTGGAATATTGCTAAAAGTGGCATAAAACCGTACTCACTCACTCTGTTCCCTCACAGGTACCATCAACCGGGAGATGCGCAACCTCATCCAGTCCCTACAGAACCACAACCAGCAACTCAAGATGGAGTCCGCCAGGTACAAGCGCAGGCTGAAGGAGACACAAGTAGAGAATGCCAGGGTAAGTATGCATAGGGATTGTTACATGGGTGGTCATGCTGAGTGTCATTTCATTGACTGTGACGTTGGAAAACAGATGTATTATTACAAGACAGGGTTCGTATGGGTCATCAAATCATGGAAAAGTTGTGGGAATTTAAACTCCAAACACTACCAGCCAATGCATAACAATCATCATGAGTAGGATGTTGACAGTTGAGATTTGTTATGAAAGTGAAACTTTAGTGTATTCTTTTTATTCATGCCTGAATATCCAGCACCTTGGATATGAGGTGGACGTGACCAAAGTGCAAATGTCCGATTGGCCAAAAAATATTTCCGGATCCCTGATGAGAACTCCATCTATAACTACGGTGATCTGTAATAAAACACCCTGGAAGAAAAAAAATAACAAGATAAACTGGATAAATAGATAAGCTAGATACTTTTGTGTAGTCCCAACTCATCCTACTATATTTATGATTATTTTAACCTGGGTGCTGTCTTGCAGTTGAAGGCCGAAGGTTCCGGGTCCACGTCGTCCACCCCGTCCTTGTCATCGGACACGAAGGAGATCAAGGAGGAAGCTCCCGTAACAACCCCGCCTGCCACCATCAAGCTTGAGCCGGAGCTGCTGCCGGTGAAGAAGGAGGAGGATTTATCAGATGACATGGCGGAGTACCGTGAGAAGGGCAAGACGGACTCGGAGGTCATCAAGGAACTCCGCGTACAGCTCAAGTAGGTGCACAACTGAGAAGTAGAGATAACCAACAAGCTACGAGGAATTGCGGATTGTCTGTCCCGAGTGAATGAATGGGGAGTCCTTGGGGAGGGACTTAATGCATTCATTTACGAGGGACAGGTAATCTGTAAGTCTGAGTTTAAGATGGTGATTCCATATAGTACTCACTGACATTTTAGGTGAGAAAAGAGGAAAATGTGCACAATGTACAACTCACTGAAGGCAGCCTATTGTTCATATGACATAATGTTCCGGTAATCGTTAACATTGGTCAGACGATGTGTTGGACGATTATTTGAGGTTTGTATTTACCTGCTAAGTCCTATTGGAACCCGAGAAGATCCGGGGTAGAGAATAGATCTTGAGCAGCACATGCTTCCCAAAAAAGGCGATTAAGCTTGTCATAAGAGGCGACTAACGGGATCGGGTGGTCAGACTCGCTGACTTGGTTGATGCATGTCATCGTATCCTAATTGCATGGATCGATGCTAATGGTGTCAATCACTGGATTAACTGGTCCAGACTTGTTTATTTACAGACCGCCGTCATATAGTTGGAATATTGCTGAGTGCGGCATTAAACAACAAACCAACAACCAATAAGTTGGCTTTTAGCTATTTGTTTAAAGGACGGGCTTTAGTTGAAGATGGGCATTTAATTAAGTATTAATGGGAAGTGAAATATTAAGACAGCTCCAAGCGACTCATTGTGTTTACGTGTGCAGGAAGGCCCAGGACAGTCAGAAAGAGCTGAAGCTGCTGCTTGACATGTACAAGAGTGCACCCAAAGAGCAGAGGGACAAGGTCATGGTATGTGAAACTTGTTAATATAGTCACTAGTATGGAAACTTTACAATGTGTATGTTGCTAGAAAAGAAAAATTATAGCTGGGATTGTGGCTTGATTACAGCAACCAAGGATAATCATTAAATACTTAATTGTCTCAGTACCAATGCATGTGTCCATGTGATGTTGTTTCAGTTGACATCCTCAGTACCAATGCATGTGTCCATCTGTTGTTGTTTCAGTTGACATCCTCAGTACCAATGCATGTGTCCATGTGACGTTGCTTCAGTTGACATCCTCAGCACCAATGCATGTGTCCCTGTGATGTTGTTTCAGCAGACATCCTAAGTACCAATGCATGTGTCCCTGTGATGTTGTTTCAGTTGACATCCTAAGTACCAATGCATGTGTCCATGTGATGTTGTTTCAGTTGACATCCTGAGTACCAATGCATGTGTCCCTGTGATGTTGTTTCAGTTGACATCCTCAGTACCAATGCATGTGTCCCTGTGATGTTGTTTCAGCAGACATCCTCAGTACCAATGCATGTGTCCATGTGATGTTGCTTCAGCAGACATCCTCAGTACCAATGCATGTGTCAATGTGATGTTGTTTCAGCAGACATCCTCAGTACCAATGCATGTGTCCATGTAATGTTGTTGCATTTGACATCCTCAGTACCATTGCATGTGTCCATGTGATGTTGTTTCAGTTGACATCCTCAGTACCAATGCATGTGTCCCTGTGATGTTGTTTCAGCAGACATCCTCAGTACCAATGTATGTGTCCATGTGATGTTGTTTCAGCAGACATCCTCAGTACCAATGCATGTGTCCCTGTGATGTTGTTTCAGTTGACATCCTCAGTACCAATGCATGTGTCCCTGTGATGTTGTTTCAGCAGACATCCTCAGTACCAATGCATGTGTCCATGTGATGTTGTTTCAGCAGACATCCTCAGTACCAATGCGTGTGTCCATGTGATGTTGTTTCAGTTGACATCCTCAGTACCAATGCATGTGTCCCTGTGATGTTGTTTCAGCAGACATCCTCAGTACCATTGCATGTGTCCATGTGATGTTGTTTCAGTTGACATCCTCAGTACCAATGCATGTGTCCATGTGATGTTGTTTCAGCAGACATCCTCAGTATCAATGCATGTGTCCATGTGATGTTGCTTCAGCAGACATCCTCAGTACCAATGCATGTGTCCATGTGATGTTGCTTCAGCAGACATCCTCAGTACCAATGCATGTGTCCCTGTGATGTTGTTTCAGCAGACATCCTCAGTACCAATGCATGTGTCCCTGTGATGTTGTTTCAGTTGACATCCTCTGTACCAATGCATGTGTCCCTGTGATGTTGTTTCAGTTGACATCCTGAGTACCAATGCATGTGTCCCTGTGATGTTGTTTCAGTTGACATCCTCAGTACCAATGCATGTGTCCCTGTGATGTTGTTTCAGCAGACATCCTCAGTACCAATGCATGTGTCCATATGTTGTTGTTTCAGCGGACATCAGTTCCAATGCATGTGTCTATGTGATGTTGTTTCAGTTGACATCAGTACCAATGCATGTGTCCCTGTGATGTTGGTTCAGCGGACATCCTCAGTACCAATACATGTGTCACTGTGATGTTGTTTCAGTTGACATCCTCAGTACCAATACATGTGTCCCTGTGATGTTGGTTCAGCGGACATCTTCAGTACCAATACATGTGTCACTGTGATGTTGTTTCAGCTGACATCATCAGAACTGCATGTGTCCCTGTGATGTTGTTTTAGCTCAGCTGACATCCTCAGTACAAATGCTTGTGTTGTTTCAGCTGATGGCTTCGGAGAAGAAGTCCCGCCAAGAGATGGAGGAGATAAGGGCGCAGATCAAGAAGATGCAGGAGGCAGAGAAGAAGGAAAGGAGGAAGCTGGCGGAGGAAGATGCCATCAGAAAGATCAGGAAGAACGAGGAGACAATCTTAGAGCTGCAGAAAAACCTGGCATCTCAGAAACAAGTAGGCCACTTAATTAGAAACTAGAAAAAATCAGAAATAAATTACACTTGGTGTATGTTTGATTTTGCATAACTTTATGGATTACACTGTTCTTCATGTATTCTAATTGTAACTTATACATGCAAATGAAAAACTTGAGTGCATTTTGCTTGTCAGAGAGAAGAGGCCCTGCTAAATGATCTCGAGGTCACCGGCCAGGCGTTTGAGGACATGCAGGAGCAGAACACACGCCTCCTACAGCAGCTTCGTGAGAAGGACGACGCCAATTTCAAACTCATGTCAGAGGTAACATGTCTTCCAACCTGTCTCATCTCCCACATATAACAAACTCACCATGATATTACTGAAATACTGTTCAAAGGGATAGTAAGACCCAGCTGACTGATTCACTTGATCAGTATCTCAATGATCAAGAAGTTTATTTGGTGTGCACATGATCAAGCAGGTCCTGTAACATGTCTACACCCCTCCTGAACACTACTGATTCCGGGGTAGAATAGGTCTTCAGCAACCCATGCTTGCTGTAAAAGGCGACTATGCTTGTCGTAAAAGGTGACTAACGGGATCGGATGGTCAGGCTCGCTGACTTGGTTGATGCATGTCATCGATCCCAATTGCGTGGATAGATGTTCATGATGTAAATCACTGGATTGTCTGGTCAAGACTCGATTATTTACAGACCGCCGTCATATAGCTGGAATATTGCTGAGTGCGGCGTAAAACAACAAACCAAACCAAACCAAACCTGACCACTACTGGGGCGGTTGGGTAGCCTTGTGGTTAAAACGTTCGCTTGTCACGCCGAAGACCCAGGATCGATTCCCGACATGGGTACAATGTGTGAGGCCCATTTCTGGTGTCCCCCGCCGTGATATTGCTGGAATATTGCTAAAAGCGGCGTAAAACCATACTCACTGACACTGACACTCCTGACCACCACTGTCGTCAAGTGGATAGAGTGTCTTCCCGGAGAGCGGAAGGTTGGTGAGTCAATCATTGCATCGTACCAGAAGATGTTAAGCGATTGTACTTGTTGCTACCCTGACTGGCACTCGGCATTAAGGGGATGAATCACGGAGTGGGAGGCTCGGAGTTAGTATTCTGTGCCAGGTATTCTTTTTTAACTGAGGCATGGTATCTCAGTGGACTGGCACTATAAAACTGACATAACCCTGGACCAGTACAAGCAGCCACACACAAGTGCATGCAGTTGCTATATAAGTGCAATAATCTTGAACACGACCTTAAACCCCATTTTCCCTCGCCTCGGACAGCCTCTGTGGTCTAGTGGTAGAGCATCCGTCCGGAGAGCGGAAGGTCTGGGGTTCGATCCTCGGCCGCCACGTCATATCAAAAGACGTTAAAAGATGGTACTTGTTGTTACCCTGTCTGGTGCTCAGCAATAAGGGTCTAAAACAAGGACTGGTCGGCTCAGAGTCAGTATACTGTGTCTTAGTGGGGTAGCCATGTTAAACTGCGGCATGGTATCTCAGTGTGCTAGCACTGTAAATCGGCATCAGTCCGGACTAGTTTAAGCAGTCACACACACACGTGCATGCACATCACTATATAAGTGAAATAATCTTGAAACCCCATTTCACCTCACCTCACCTTCCCTCGCCTCGTTTGATATGGCTTCAAGTTATCCACGTGCACATGTAGTGATGATGCAGCCAAAAGTCTGGGCTCAACCATGCCACATGACAGAACTGTGCTTTCAAAGCAAGCAAGCATTTTGTTTTGACAAATTGTGAAATGACACGATGTGATACCCCATTTCACCTCACCTATATCTCTCCACACACTAGCGGATCAAGTCAAACCAGATCCAGAAGCTGCTGCGAGAGGAGAAGGACATCCTGGTGGAGCAGGTGTCGACGCTGCAGCTGCAGGTGGAGGCGCAGAACCAGGTGGTCCGCAAGCTGGAGGAGAAGGAGCGTATCCTGCAGAACAACCTCTCCACAGTCGAGAAGGAACTCAGGTAAAAGTCCTAGAATTAATTTACAAAAGGTTGTCATGATACAGCTGGAATAACCTGTGAAGATCTGGTTAGAATTGGCCTTCAGCAACCCATGCTTGTTGTAAGAGGCGTGGTCAGGCTTGCTGACAATGATGCATGTTATCATATCCAAATTGCATAGATCAATGCTCATGATGTCAATCACTTGATTGTCTGGTCCAGACTTCATTATATACAGACCGCCATCATATAGCTGTAATATCGCTGACTGATGCTCAAAACAACATTCACTCACTGCAGAGATCCCCCAAATGACCATGCTCCCACTTCTGTCCGTCCCGGGGTGGTCGGGTAGCCTAGTGGTTAAAGCGTTCGCTTGTCACGCCGAAGACCCGGGTTCGATTCCCGACACGGGTACAATGTGTGAAGCCCATTTCTGGTGTCTCTCGCCATGATATTCCTGGAATGTTGTTAAAAGTGGCGTAAAACCATACTCACTCACTCACTCACTCACTCACTCACTCACTCACTCACTCACTCACTCACTCACTCACTCACTCACTCACTCACTCACTCACTCACTCACTCACTCACTCACTCACTCACTCACTCACTCACTCACTCACTCACTCACTCACTCACTCACTCACTCACTCACTCACTCACTCACTCACTCACTCACTCACTCACTCACTCACTCACTCACTCACTCACTCACTCACTCACTCACTCACTCACTCACTCACTCACTCACTCACTCACTCACTCACTCACTCACTCACTCACTCACTCACTCACTCACTCACTCACTCACTCACTCACTCACTCACTCACTCACTCACTCACTCACTCACTCACTCACTCACTCACTCACTCACTCACTCACTCACTCACTCACTCACTCACTCACTCACTCACTCACTCACTCACTCACTCACTCACTCACTCACTCACTCACTCACTCACTCACTCACTCTGTTCTTCCCCATAGCTTGACCCAGCAGGCCATGGAGATGCACAAAAGGAAGGCTGTGGAGAGCTCCCAGACAGCTGCTGACCTCAAGCTCCATCTGGACAAGTACCAGTCCCAGCTGAAGGAGGCCCAGGTCGCTGTGGCCGAGAAGACAGGTGCTCTCGAACAGGAGGCATACAAGTATAAGAGAACTCAGGTCTGTGGTCTATACTCTCTTTACAATGTAATGTGTATGTATGATTTTTCAGAGCTCTTGAAACATAGGTTCGTGTAAGCTTATGTTCTGGTGATTTCTTCTTGTTTTGTTCGTCCGTCTGTTTTTCCATTTGTAAACTTGTACATTTATGAAATCTCCTCTGAAACCACAAGGCTGAATTTTGCATCCAAGCTTTGATGTAAAAATAAACTTGCTCACAGAATTTTGATCCAATTGTGAACATGCATAGTTGCTAAAGAAGCCTTATTGAAAATGGCATACACAATATAACAAATATGTGTTTTGACATACCGTATTCGACGTAATAAGCGCCCAGGGCGCTCTCAAAATTAGAAATAGGGGGCTCTTATTAGAATATTATTTTAAGTTGAAAAATCGTAAATTTCGTGGTTTATGCTGACAGCCTGAAATGTTTATATACGACAGAAATATTTTCAAGGATTTAATTGCCCATAATTAAGGGTGCATATAACATACGAGTACGTATTATACACAAATAAATAAGTCTTGTGTACGTAAAACCCTTGGAAGGGGTGCTAATTGAGATTGTTCACTAGCCAATATATTGGCAAATATCGCCGTGGGCGCTTATTAGAGCAGGGCGCTTATTACGTCGAATACGGTAATTGTATCTTTAACCCTGCTGTTGCAAATCATTAAGGAATATGTGGAATCTTGTATTATATATAATTGATGTTTGTATATTCTGGTTCACCCTTTTATTATGAAAATTTTCGTGTAGTGTTGCAAATTTAAGAAAAATTCAGGTGAGTTACAGAACCTCAGTGGCCCTATTGTTTTATGTTATTCGGGTCACGTACATAGATTAACCAATGATCTGTGAAATGTGTAGAGTTTGTCAGATAGTCATTTATCATTGCATAGCTATACACAATTGATGTAAAGGTTAGAACATGTATGTCATTGTGTCAGTTAGTTCAGTAATCTTTAAACTTTTCCTATCTCACACAATGCATTTCTTCAGTCTCCTTTTGATCCTTAAATGGAAATGTGCTTGAGCAAAGTTTCCAGCTTCTAAAAACAGTTCACCTGAAAACATCTCAGGGTGTTGGTCCATGAAAGAAAAGCGACTCCATATCAACAAACCTCGCATTCAAGGCGGTCATTCTCGAGGTGTTCGTGTGTCACACCTCACGATCCCATTGCACAATCTATCAGTCATCTGGTATATCACCAAGATGGGCTCCACAACGTCAATGTCCCTCCTGTTGTGATGATTGAATTATTCGGGTTGATTGACTCCCTGAACATTCAGGAATGAGTGAGGCACATTCCTGGGAGCAACAATGTTATTGCCTACTCCCTATCCCGACACAACCAACCGTCACCATCAGAATAGCGTCTCCACCTGATGAATTTTCAACTTCACACGAACCCAGACATCGACCTATTCACAACCAGGTTCAACCAGGCATGGACCACGATGCTCTGGCCATCTTGTGGGAGAACCTCAACCCCTTCGCTTTTCCCCAAACCGGCATTCTACCTCGGGTCATTCAGAAGGTTTAGGCACGTGATGTCTCGGTATTGGTTTGATGATCCTATTGTGGATGTTGTTGATTGTTCATCTTCTCGTCTTAGCATGCTTCAATCCTTCGGGCGTGATTGATAGCTTTGTCAAAGTGTTAAAAGAGATGCCGAGCTGGCTCACCCTATTATTAGTCGGAGATAGTGGTGTGGTCTGTCTTGTAGAGCTGATTGCCTGGAAACCACCAGATTGTTATAAGTACTCCAAATAGATCCCTATTTCGAAGCTATGTTGATGAATGGATAGTGTGAGATAGGAAAAGTGTATAAATATAGAAGTTAGTGTAAAATTTACAATATTTCTTAGTCACTGTCAGATTGTATGTATTGTTGTGTGTGCAGGAAGAGATAGCGAAGCTTCAGCGTAAGCTTGAGAGGAGTAAGAAGATCGAGATGGCCGGGGCTGCTGACGAGGTGCTGCTGGAGGAGATCAAGGAATATAAGGTAGCTGCACACATGAGGATATACCTTCGTGACATCATAGAATGTCCACAACTAAAGATTTCACTATTTTGCAATTTCTCCAAAGTGAGGCTTAGAAAGTATCAATCGACCCTTGTATGTGACTTTGTTAGAATGGGTTGACTTAACCAATGTCTCTTTAGGTTAACCCCACTTTATTCCAGATTCAAGTAAACACAAGCAACAGATAGTCTCTACTTACATCTCAGAATTAGGAATTATCTGTCTCTTGTGTTGTAATATCAAGGCCAATTTGGGGGACTTAAAAAATCTATGATTCCTTGTAGCCTAAGATTGTCTTCTAATGACATGTCTTCTAATGACTGGATTACGTACAGACCGGCGTCGTATAGCTGGGATATTGCTGAGTGCGGAGTCAGACAACTAACAAACAAACAAACAAACAAACAAAAGAACTTGTAACTTTAATTGTTTGATGGGCATTCCTTAGAAGTTGATGGATGACAAAGTAGACACAATTTATGGATAACAACTTCTTTAATATACTATTATTGTGACCCTTGTACTTGTTGTAGGTACCTGATGGAATATTTATCAAGGAAATAACATATTGATATGTTTTTGTCTTCCAGGAACAACTGACCTGCCCCTCTTGCAAAGTTAACCGGAAAGATGCAGTGCTCACTAAATGTTTCCATGTGTTCTGCTTGGAATGTTTGCGAACACGTTATGAAACCCGACAGCGGAAATGTCCAAAGTGCAATGCTGGCTTTGGAGCCAATGACTTCCACCGACTGTATTTGACTTGATCATGTATGTGCTGCTCCGGACTTCAGGAGCTGGCTTCATTTAAGACTTGTCACAGGTTAAATCCTTGTCACTGCCTCACGGGTTTGAATAAACTACGCTACTCCATCACCCATGAATACATATTATTCCTGTGGGAGTTCCGTGTTAGAATAGGTCCCCAGCAAAAAGGCAACCAAATGAAGCGGTGACTTGGTTGATGGCGTGTTCTCGTACCCATTGGACAGGGATCGCTGCTCACATTATCGATCACTGGATTGTCTGGTCCAGACTTGATTATTTACAGGCCGCCGTCATATAGCTGGAATATTGCTGAGTGTGGCGTTAAAAAACAAAAGAGTCCATTCAGCTGCGGTGTGGAGTGATAGTGACACATATCTATTTTTATACAGGTAGTGAATAGAGGCTGTGTATTCAGTACATCATAATTAAGCAATGTACAGAATAGGTGTCTGCAAGGTTGTTGCCGATGTTGCACAAGAAATGTTGTGGATGTAATCTGAGCACCCATTGGTCTGAGGTCTTGCTGATTCCCTCTCGCTGGAACCAGGCCTTCGCTTGATTGGTTGGTTAGAAATAGTTACAACTTGGCGCAGAGGCCTTATGTATTCACAGGTGATGGAGGATTGTAATTTCTACAAACCGTCAAGTACCAGTATTGATGATGAGGTTAAAGCTGCAGCAAAAGTTGCATCATTACAAAGGATACAAATATGTTGCCATCCTAGGTTATCCAAAGGGGGTGTGTGTTTAAATTAGTATGTAACCAAATAAACAATTGAGTTCTATCAATCTGGAAAAGGTCCTCCCTACATAAATGTATTCCTTGAGTAAAATACTGGAATACTGGATTTGTTTTTGTTTTTTAAAAATGGAAATATAAATGAAACGTGCAGCGAACTTCATGATGATGCGGGTGGTGCCTGAGAACCAAGACTTTTTTTTTTAGCCTCAGTAAGTCCCAATTAACCATGTAAACAGTAGTGTAGATGTGTAGATACCATGTACACAGTATCGGGATCACCTGCTGGATGCTGTCCATCTTCCTGAGGCAAGGGAGTTAACTGACTAGAAATGTCCAGTTTCCACCCTTGCCGAACTAGGCTGGAAGTATGGAGTTATATTTTGGTTGGAGTACCGATTCTATGCATAGTCCAATCAAAATTGTGCAACAAAATCAACATGTGGTTTGTACACTGCCATGCAGATTTCGGGTTGTCTGATCAATCTACGTCATGAAGGACGCCGCCATTTCGTTTGAAGCAAATGCAAGTTAATATGATAGGTGGAATCTGATTGGTCAATAGGAGGGACATGGAAGGGACATAACTCATAATAGACTGGTGGCGTATGATCGAGCCACGAAATTCCAACCTAGTTCGCGATGGTGGAAACTGGACTTTTACAGTCAGTTAGCTCCCTTGCCTCAGGAAGATGGATTCTGTTATGTTATTTAGTAAGTGACATCGTGAAATACTACTAGCTTCAATTCATTAAGTTATTCAACTATCTACTGGAGGTTATAGTACAGTGTGGAATCGTATGGATATATATACTACTACAATATTTATGTTTCATTCAATGCTTATTGTGCCGGGTGAACTTGTGAGTACAAGCTGACATGGAAGAACGCCTGTGTGGAGCCTCATTGACATGAGATTCATTTCTGTGTGTATTTGCACTTGATGCATATTTCTCTCTTAGTATTTGCATGTGTGTTCACCTTCATTGTTTTCAGATAGGACTCTAGTAATGTATTCGGTCCCGATACTATTCATATCTTGATAGTAATGTTGGGATTTGGGAGCCCTAAACTTGTATAAAAGAGCTGCTTTTCGTCACCTAAGTAGACTATCATCCAATAAACTAACTATGGTTTGAAAAATGGTGAACATCCCTACGGAATATATTTTTACAGTTCATTTTTGCATTTTCTACCTTTCAGTCCTTATGTATATGTGTCTTTTCAGGGTTAGAAAATAGAAATTAAGGGGGCCTGAGTTCTGTGAGGATTTTGGCTTTGGTATTTTAATCAAGGTCAGCTATAAATCTTTAATCTTTAATTACAGGTTATGACCTGGACCCTTGACTGTTTAATCTCAGTTTAGAACACTGGTTTTGTAAAATATGCGTGATCTCATGATGTTAGTATCATATAGCACAAAGTGTCACAATGCATTGGTCTGTCCTGGGGACACAGGTGGCACAGTTGTCTAAGGCGCAGCAATTCGCTATGCAGAGTTGCATCCCATATGCATGCCATAAACCTACAATTGTGGGTTTGAATCCCAGTTTGGACCTGTTTCTAGGTTTGTCAGCACCATATCCAGGGTCGGTTCTACCAAAGTGGTAAAAGTTGGAGACCTGCATCACTTTTGGCTTTCCTCCCACATTAAGCTGACATGCCATAATACAACCAAAATCCTGCATCCTACATACAAAAAAAAATGAAAATGGATGCCCAAAGATTTAGATTAGGCTGTCAAAGTTATCTCAAGGTTCACCTGATGACACCTCCTTGAGGGCTTGTCAGATCTTGATGGAGAACGCTATCATTTCAGAGTAAGACATGTGATGTTAATGAGACTGTCTCCTTGCCATTGTCACAATGCTAAAACAAGCACCCTCTCTGACAGTGTTAAACAATCCTCGAGTCATCTACCTTAACTACAGCACTTGTAATTACACCTACCGTACCTAGTCTCCATGTTCTGTAACAACATGGGGGGCACGGGTGGCCCAGTCGTCTGAGGCGCCATGATTCGCTGTGTAGAGTTGCGTCCCCTGGACACGCCAGAAACCTATGATTGTGGGTTAGAATCCCGGTTCACCCCGATTATGTTTCTAGGTTTGTCAGCATCATACCCGTGCTCGTGGGTTTCACCAAAGTGGTAAACGTCTGAGACCTGCATCACTTCGGGCTTTCCTCCCACATGAAGCTGACACGCCGTGATATAACTGGAATAATGTTAAAAGCAGCGTTCAACCCAACTCACTCACTCACTCACTCCTGTGATACCTGCCATTATCACAATGCTAAAACAAGCACCATCTCTGGCAGTGTTAAACAATCCTCGAGTCAACTACCTTAACTACAGCACATGTAATTACACCTACTTTACTAAGTCTCCATGTTCTGTAACAACATAGGAATGTTGCTCGAATCAGCTTTATGATTTCTCCATATTAACGTAGGATAGAAATACTTACCGTATTCAACGTAATAAGCGCCACGCTCTAATAAGCGCCAAAGGCGATATTTGCTAATATATTGGCCAGTGAACAATCCTAATTAGCACCTCTTCTGATTGATCAATGTACACAAGATATTATATAAGTCGCGTATAATACGCAGTCATCTGTTATATGCACACTTAATTATGGGCAATTCAATTCTGGCAAAATATATCTGTTGTACATAAACATTTCAGGCTGTCAGCATAAACCACAAAATCCATCTTTTAACTCTGGTTTGTTTTTCACTAAAATAATATTCTAAAAAGAGCCCCCTATTTCTAATTTTGAGAGCGCCCTGGGCGCTTATTACGTCGAATACGGTACATCAACGTTAAATGGGAGGTGGTTTAAAAATGTTCAAATGCTGTGAGCATATGATAACAAATGAGGCATGTTTTGTAGCTATTGGAAGGTGATAAGAACATTTGAGTAGACATGATAGAAAAGTTCTGTTCGATTTTCAATTTGTGTATAGTTTGTTAGTGTGTTAATTTGTCATAATTTATAGTTCAGGATTTAATTATTCAATCAAAATGTCATCAATGCCTGATAGACTTAACCATCTGTTACGGAAGATGGTTTTAAGGTTAAAACAATACAAATGTTATTTATCATCCAGAACTGGCTTCCACAGGAGATATGGCTACAAAGGAGTTACATCACAATGCTTTACAGATCATTGTAATGTCATTGGTTACAATGACCTCAGAGTGAAATGACATCACTTTTTTCTTTGCCACGGAAGCAGGTCGGCTCTCATTTTTACTCAGACCATTAATGTTTACAAACTGAAAAAGTTGGAAGAATGCTTTTTGGATGATAAAAAGAATCTCACCCTTGTGTCTTTTGATATGGGATTTTAAAACTTTTTTTGACTTCTGTTGATATATTTGATATCAAAAGACACACGGCTGAGATTCCCTGTTTGTAGAAAGTGTGTTTGATCTGGATTCTGTCTGGTGTGTTTGGAATCACCATCATCATAACCGTACCTTGTGTGTTACACAGCCATGTTTGTATACAGTATGATCTGCTAGAGTTAGTATCTGTGAGGTTTACCCTGTATCATGTACCATGTGTGTATGAAAGAGTGGGAGGGGATGGCATGCTGTGTTGAACACCCTCGTCTTAATGAAATTCATCGACTCTCATCACAATAAACAAATACCAAAGGAATGGACTCTTATTATTTTTGAGTGACTGAGTGAGTATGGTTTTACGCCGCTTTTATCAATATACAAGCAATATCACGGCGAGGGACACCAGAAATGGGTGTTACACATTGTACCCGTGTGGGGAATCAAACCCAGGTCTTTGGCATGACGAGTGAACGCTTTAACCACTAGCAGAGCTACAGATAAGCAGCGTATTTGCGTAAAATACCCCCCACCCAAAAATATTCAAAACCCAGTTACTTTCAATTAACTTGTGTACAGAAATGCATGCATTAAATGAAAATCTCAAATGTTTAAAAAACAGCTCGCTTAAATATCCAATGAAGCTTTTTCAGCATGCATACAAAGGAGCTAATTTCCGAAACACAATTATGAGCTAATTTACTTTCCATGTCAAACCCATATATTTAGAACGGTTATATACATCCAAAACATTATTTTATTTTTTTTTAATCTTAAAATGTTCACTAAATTTGGGAAAACTCAAAGTGATGAATAGATTAGTGAAAAAATATTGGTGACCCAGTGAAAAATGTAATAACCCAATTAAAATAGATACCCTAGAGTAAACACTCAATTGCTGAAAAAGTTATCTGGAGGTCTGACTAGGCTATCCCACCAGCCTTATCTGTCAGACATTCACATACTCATTACGCCTGTTTTTGCTTAAACAATTGCAAGGTTGGTGGTCAAACTACAAATAAAATATTAGATATGGTTGTTTTTTTATTGATCTGTGGAAAACAAATGTTTTGAATAAAAGGTTAAGCGGTTACTTTTCTACCTATATTGACAATTTTTAAGGATTTTATTTTCATTTTTTGTGACTGCAATTACTTCGCAGTGAATTTATTTCACGTCGCATCGTTTTGATTTTGAGACCATGGATCTGTAAACTGAGCAATTGAAAAAAAACATACCGTATTCGACGTAATAAGCACCCAGGGCGCTCTCAAAATTAGAAATAGGGGGCTCTTATTGGAATATTATTTTAGTGAAAAAAAAACAGAGTTAAAAGATAAATTTCGTGGTTTATGCTGACAGCCTGAAATGTTTATGTACGACATATTTTTCCAGAATTTAATTGCCCATAATTAAGTGTGCATATAACAGACGAGTGCGTATTATAAATAAGTCTTGTGTCTTATAAATAAGTCTTGTGTACATTGATCAATCGGAAGGGGTGCAAATTAGGATTGTTCACTGGCCAATATATTAGCAAATACTGCCATGGGCGCTTATTAGAGCGGGGCGCTTATTACGTCGAATACGGTACATGTACTTTTTTATGTTTGTTTTTTTCGGAGGTGCAGTGGATCGGCTTGTGGTTAATGTGTTCGTTATCACAGTTCTGGGTTTGACACCAAGGTAGTAGAGTCCATGAGTTGTGAAAGGTTTTTCTTGTCAAGCTCACCTCTAGGGCTGGGACGAGTAACACTGGTACTCGGGTCAAGGGGGTACTGAGTAGGACCCGGGTACCCACAGTACTACCTGGACCCGTAGTTGTCAATGTTTAATGACAAAAACTCTGTATAGCTCAGTGGTTACACTTCAAGTCGCTAGTGATTGCATTTCTTTCTGACGATGCACACGTTCCTTTTGACTTGTATATGTTTGAGTAATGATAAAGCTTCAGTCAGCGTCTGTGTAAGCATCATCTGAGGGTTTGATACATGGATCTAAATAGTTTTGGCCAGGGCTGCAGTAAAACAAATCCCAATCAGACATTTTGTTCCCATCTCTTGAGACCTACAGCGGGTACCCAGGTAGGGCCGGGTAATAGGGTTATAGGTACCCGGGTCGTAAATTTGGACTCGTCCCAGCCCTACTCACCTCAAGACAGGTTGAATTTAGTGTAACAAAATGTTGATGCATTACAATTGTCCAATGCTCCAAGAAACATGTAAGTGACAGCTTAAAATATGAATACCGTATTCGACCTAATAAACGCCCATGGCGATATTTGCTAATATATTGGCTAGTGAACAATCCCAATTAGCACCCCTTCCGATTGATCAATGTACACAAGACTTTATTTATTCATGTATAATACTCACTAATGTGTTATATGCACCCTTAATTATGGGCGATTAAATTCTGGATAATATATCTGTTGTGTATAATACGCACAGACTTTTCTTTTGTATCATTTCAGGCTGTCAGCATAAACCAAAAAATTTACAATCTTTCAACTCTGTTTTTTTCTCTCACCAAAATAATATTCTAATAACAGCCCCCTATTTCTAATTTTGAGAGTGCCCTGGGCGCTTACTACGTCGAATATTACATTTCATTACGTCGCTTGCCCCTGATAGAAATCTTAAGATCTTCTGCTACTGCCTTTTTAGCAGTAGTGAGAACCAAGATCTGATTTTAATGAAATTGCAGCTGACATAGACCAACTTCTAGTCTCTCTTCATACTGCAGTAACCTAGACTTGCCAAACATTATAGACTTGCATGGGCTGTATTGTATATATTTGTATCAGGGACTGTATGACAGATTACAGCTGCCAGTGACTTTGCCTGTCAGTAACACAGTCGGCTGAGGTAAACTACGTGGAGACTGATTGGTATGTACCTCATCAATTCATGGCTGACCACATACATTTGCTTCCTATCCAGTGCGACATGAATTGAAACGTCCATAAAATACCTACCGTCAACAAGGGACATAACTCTAATAACAATTCAAGATGGCTGCGCCCATGCAGCATGTTCGGATACTCTGTTGTAGGTCGTTCAATGTCTTGTATACACGGTCCTGGAATAGACACAGTGTGTGTAATGTCTCACATCAGACTGCCTTGGGTTCGTGTCTTCCGTTCTCATCGCGATCAAACGACAAAGTTGAAGACGATTTCTTTGGCATCAAAGAAGACGACGGACGTGTTGAAAATGAAAGTGTCAAACAATCTAGAGACGATGAACAGTTGCAGACAAAATATTCTTTCAGAGTTAAACAGCAACTCAAGACGTATAGCAGATACTCAGTGCCTTATGGCATCGTTAGAAAAGAGGAACAAATTCGCAGTAAAGAGAAAAAACAATCAACTAAACATACGTCATTATCTTCTAAAAGGAAGGATTTATTTCAAGAAAACAAATATGGTGTCAGGGTTGCTGTGGAGCAAGAGGGACATTCTAAACAGGATCTTGTGAAACAGAAAATAAATACTGGAATACATTTGTCCTCCCAGAACGAACGTGAAAATATATTTGATGAACAGTATTTTCAGATTGAAGAAAATCCCGCAATTGATGTAAGGTATTCTGATAATGATTTTATGAAACTTCCACAATTTGCATCACTTTCAGAAAACTATGACAAAAACAGTTCTAGAAATGATTCATATGATAAAAATCAGGACTTGAGTTTTGTTGATAGTCAGTATTTTTATAGTGATGAAGACATTCAGAGATCTCCAGGAAGTATGAAAGGACATACCCCAGAATATTTACAGACACGAAAATATGGGAGGTTGCATTCTAGGGTGGAAACTGAAGGTCTTAATTTTGTTGACAAACAGTATTTTGATACTGATGCAATACATTCAGACAACTCGTCAGTCCCTGACAGTACATTGCAAGGGAAACACAGTGACACAGCTGACTATGGTGTTAAAGAAACAGTGCCCCTTGTAGGAATTGACAGAATACCTCGAGAAAGAGGTATTAGAAGACGAGCTGTTACCAGGCAACAGACAAGTAATCAGGATGAGGATGGAAGGCCACTGACTGCTTATGATGTTGCTCGTAAACTACGAGAAAACTCCATAGAGCCTGCCTCAGATGAAGATGGTAGGTGATAAGGCTGGGACAGGTAACTCGGGTACTCGGGTCGGGTGGGTCCAGAGTAGGACACGGGTACCCACAGGACTTCCCGGACCCGTGGTTAGTCACGTGATATGTTGTTTAATGACAAAAAATTATCTAGAACTCTATGTTTACACTATACAGTATTCGACGTAATAAGCGCCCCGCTCTAATAAGCGCCCACGGCGATATTTGCTAATATATTGGCAAGTGAACAATCCCAATAAGCACCCCTTCCGATTGATCAATGTACACAAGATATATCTGTTGTACATAAACAGTTCAGGCCGTCAGCATAAACCACGAAATTTATCTTTCTACTCTGTTTTTTTCACCAAAATAATATTCTAATAAGAGCCCCCTATTTCTAATTTTGAGAGCGCCCTGGGTGCTTATTACGTCAAATACGGTAAGTCACTAATGTTCCCATTTCTTTGTGATAATGCATCCATTCCTTCTGACTTTTATATGTTTGAATAAAGATAAAACTTCATGCAGTAGACTTCAGTGTATGCATGACAAGATCGTTTTACACGTGTATCTAAACACATTTTGCCTGGGCTAAGGACAAACTTTTCGGTACGGCCGGGTAGGGTCGGGTAATAGGGCGGTGGGTACCCGGGTAGTAAATTTGGACTCGTCCCAGCCCTAGTAGGTAACTGTCATGAGACGACTGCCATCACATAGCTGGAATATTGCTGAGAGAGGTGTTAACAACAATTCTTCCATGAATTTAACACTTTTCTACATACGACTAACGTCATATCTTTTGCGACACAGTGAGCAATATGATGTCATCACAGTGACATGCTTTGTAGAGCGAGACCTTTGTGAGGCTTGCTTACGTTTCTTACAAAGTTGCTATACTTAAGATTTAATTGCCTGTCATATGTTTCTTTCTTGTTTAATGCCACACTCAGCAATATTTCAGCTAAAGGACGGTAGTCTGTAAATAATCGAGTCTGGACCAGACAATCCAGTGATTGACATCATGGGCATCAATCCACGCAATTGGGATATGATGACATCCATCATCAACCAAGTCAGCGAGTCTGATCACCCGTTAGTCACAATGGGTCGCCTATCATATTTTTTTTAATGAAGTTGTACAATATGCTTGAGCATATGCAGTGCTATATTTTGTTAAAAGGCGGGGATTCCATAATTCAGATCGACAACCCACTCAACTGGGCTCAAAAAAGCCACTTCACTCAACACCAAAGAGTTCATGTTTTAGTTTGTCATGGTAGAAAGGATGTAAGCATACTGTGTTTTCAATGTCGGACTGCGTGTTCGGTTCCAAATTCATTGAAAACACAGTATGTTTATCGCTTAAACAAACGACTGCCATGAGACAGGTATTCATCAGTGTAAGGTCCATTTTGATAGCAAATATAATTTTGAAAAGTTTCAATTTTGATGAAATCTGAGCTGTGAAAGTGTTCAACAATATCTACTCAGCAATGGCCAAACAAAACAGTTTTCAGTTTCACCTGAATTGTAACCATGGTAACAGCACAAAAACAAATGGTTGCTGCATGTCAACGTATCCCAATTGTGTAGATCGATGCTCATGATATTAATCACTGGATTGTCTGGTCCAGACTCGATTATTTACAGACTGTCGTCATATACAGCTGGAATATTGCTTAGTGTAGCATTAAACAACAAACAAACAAATCTTACATCCAGAAACGGGTAGACCGAAAAAGACTGCCCAGGGTGCCATTGTACAAAGTTATCTTAGCGCTAAGGCGATCGTTATTGCCATACTTAGACTTATGAAAGTAACTTTGAGGATGGGCAGGCAACACTTATGGGTCCCCTGCACGACTCTCTTGGAGGGTTTTAAACTTGTGATGCTGATTGTGCCTGATCTCAGCACATTCCCATCGGTGATGTTCAGCGTTATGAAGCTGGGGTTGTTACAGGAGCTGGCGACACCTCAAGGCGGTATGCGGGGCCTGTAGACAGTAAGGGGTATCGTATCCTCAAGCACCAGGTGGACGATGTCATGACCATGCCCTCGGTGATGGTAACAAGACTGCTACAAGACAGCATCATTTACAACAAAGGTTTGGATGATTACCGTATTTTCTTGAGTATAGTGCGCATCCATGTATAATGCGCACCCCCCTCTAGCAGATTCAATATTTTTGAGAAAAAAAATTCGAATACCAAGCGCAGAAATAAAATTACACCATACCCCTTTAGCGAAGTCCGGCAAACGAACGGGTGATGAGAAACTTGGTCTGTACAAATTCAAAATTTGAGATAAAAAATCACCAGACATGTTGATTTACCGTTTAAATTGTATTTTTTGTTCTGCTAGGCATTGTTTTATATCCAGGGATTAAGATTACCTTGTGTATTTTCTCGTAAACTAAGCCTGAGGTATTGAGGTATTAGGACTAAACGGGCGGTAAGGTGGCCTTGTGGTTGAAGCATTTGCAGCGTTACCGTTTACCGGTAATTACCAGTTTTTTCTGGTAAAATTAGGCTTGGACTGGTAATTCAAGTGACTGCCAGTCCCTTTGGACTTGCAAATAAAGTACCTTATAAATCTTTGTTGAACAATACATCGGTGATATTCATATGAGTACATTTTTCAAACAAAGTCAGCTTGTCTGTCACCATCAGAGTTTCCCCTTGTCTATTTCTAGGTTATATATTCATTTGTAGCGACTTCGTCTTGAAATATTAAAAAAAGAGAGAGAAAATTGTGACTGTAGTTTTTTTTGTGAATGATCTAACTAAGTTACTTCAGAGATGACAGCTTTGCACTGAAAATGATGTTGAAAGAATTAAAACCAAATAATTTTCATACGTTTTTATATTTTTGTCAAAAGATGTGACTGGCAAAAATTAGGGGGGACTGGTAATTTTTAGAGTTGCCAGTCCACCAGGACTAGCAGTTTCAAAAGCCAGCGGGAACACTCCATTTGCTGGGTTCTGGGTTTGATTCCCCACATGGGTACAATGTATGAAGGCTATTTCTGGTGTCCCTCCACCGTGATATTGCGGGAATATTGTTAAAAGCGTGGAAGCTTTACTCACTCACTCACTCTCTCTTCCTCTGCTTCTTTGTATCATTTAACTTGATTGATGCATGTCATCGATCCCAATTACATGGATCGATGCTCATGATCTCAATCACTGGATTTTCTGGTCCAGACTCGATTATATACAGACCACTGTCATATAGCTGGAATATTGCTGAGTGCGGCGTTAAACAACAAAGATAAAGTGTATCATTTGAAATGCCTCAGTACTTGCAACCACTTGGAGAAGTTACAGAAACCTATGATTGTGGGTTTGAATCCCGGTTCACCCCAATTAAGTTTCTCAGTTTGTCAGCACCATACCCGTGCTCGTGGGTTTCACAGAAGTGGTAAACGTCTAAAACCTGCATCCAGAGCTCCAGATAACATTTTGAGCAATTGAGTTTTTACTCTAGGGTTTCTATTTTAATTGGGTTGTTACATTTTTCATTTTGTAACCAATATTTTTTCACTCATCTATTCATCACTCTATTGTGTTTTTCCCCAAATTAGTGAACATTTTAGGATTTGAAAAAAATTAAATAATGTTTTAGATGTATATAACTGTTCCAAATATATAGGCTTGACTCAGAAAGTAAATTAGTTTCGGAAATTAACTCCTTTGTACACATGCTGAAAAAAAGCATCATTTGGTATTTATGCGATCTGTTTTTATACATTTGAGCTTTTCATTTAATGCATGGGTTTCTGCAAGTTAATTTAAAATAAGTAATTTGGTTTTGTATATTTTTGGGGGGTATTTTACCTGTAGCTCTGTGCATCACTTCGTGCTTTCCTCCCACATTAAGCTGACACTGTATGATATAACTAGAATACCGTAGAAGCGGCGTGAAACCCCACTCACTCACTCACTCACTCATTCACTCACTCACTCATTCACTCACTCACTCACTCACTCACTCACTCACTCACTCACTCACTCACTGTAACCATCTGGAGAAGTTACAGATTTCCTGTACCTTACAGGTCGTATCAGTGCTAGCATTTATCGAGGATTTCAAACTATGTGCCCTTGGCAAGCAGTTTGGGGCAAAATTGTGCTGGTGTTCAAAATTTAATTGTTTTAATGTTGTTATTTTTGTAAATTTTGTAAATTTTGAGGTATTATGAAATGTTTTAATTCAAATTGAGAATATTACTATCATTTCCTGCAGACTTGGGGCTGAATATTGGATTCTTAGCAAGTCTAGATAAATCCCTGCCTTGAGACTGTACACGTGGTAGACTTTATCAATGTTACATGAATGTGGTGGGAGTTCTGAATGTATGAAAATACAGAAGGTGTGGTGCTTAACTTTTAACCAGTTGTATAGAATTTTAACAAAGACTGGATTTGTGTTTCAGGTGACATCATAGCAATTGATAAACCATATGGGCTGCCTTCCCACGGTAAGTGATCCTGGTGAATGACACACCCTGTCCTGTCATAGCAACATGTTGTCCTAACTCTAGTAATAGGTATATTCTGGGCCAGAGAACATCTTGGCTAGAATAGGTCTTCAGTAACCCATGCTTGCAGTAAAAGGTGTCTATGGTTGTTGTAAAAGGCGACTAACGGGATCGGGTGGTCAGACTCGCTGACTTGGTTGATGCATGTCATCGTATCCTAATTGTGTAGATCGATGTTCATGTTGTCAGTCACTGGGTTGTCTGGTCCAGACTCGATTATTTACAGACCCCCGCATATAGCTGGAATATTGCTGAGTGTGGCATTAAACAAACAAACAAACAAAGGTATATTCTTTGACACTCTCATCACATAAGTCTTTCTGTTCAGAACTTTATGAAGAAAACAAATATGGTTGTGTGGTTACTCTTCCACACATGACCATCTTCCTGTGGTCAGGACATTAACTGACAATAAAAGTCCAGTTCCCACCCTTGCCGAACTAGGCTGGAAGTTCAAGGCTCTATTGTAGCACCCCCAGTGGCTATCATGAGTTATGTCCCTTCTATGTCCCTCCTATTGACATACCGCCGTCATATAGCTGAAATATTGCTGAGTGCGGCGTTAAACAACAAACCAACCAACCCTCCTATTGACCAATCGGATTCCATCTCTCATTTAACTTGCATTTGCTTCAAACAAAATGGTGTCAGTATCAAAACAATCTGATCGATAATCAAGATCTGTATTGTAATAAAACGGTTCTTACCCTGCGAAGTGCATCAAATCACCTTGATTAAAAACATGAACAGATTTGCAAAATATTTGTGGACGCCCACTTGGCGGTACACATGATTTTCACATCCTGCAGTCGGCCGAAATCTGCACATTGAAATCCATGTTGTTTACAAACCGGATGTCTAGTTCAGTACATGATTTTGATTGGATTATGCATATACTCATTAGTCCAGCTAAAATGTACCTCCAGAATTCCAGCCTTGTTTGGTTAGGGAAAGAACTGGACTTTTATTGTCTAAGTCCCTTGCCTCGGGAAGATGATACGTGACATGCAAATGGAATCATCAAGAGTAATGTTTAATGTGGAGGATGTGTTGGTATACTACATGCATGCATGGACACACATGCCCAGCCACACACCCACACACCTACCGGTATGCATCTATGCATGCAGCCACGTACACACATGGGCACTCACACACACACGCAGCCTCCCCTGACAGTGTGGATGGTTGCTCACAATATCAATCACTGGATTGTCTGGTCCGGACTCAATTATTTACAGGCTGACGTCATGTAGCTGGAATATTGCTGAGTGTGGCGTTAAAGAAAGAAAGAAACAAAGAACATGTGTAATGGGTCTCCTGATCATTGCTTATCACTCAAGACCAGGATGCCTGAAGCTGACACATTCTCGTCCCAAAAATGTTCCCTAGGAGACTGCAGACTGTCCTCGTGTTGGCCCATGTGTGGCATGTCCTGGTGTTGGCCCTTGTGTGGCATGTCCTTGTGTTGGCCCACGTGTGGCCTGTCCTCGTGTTGTCCTATGTGTTGCATGTCCTTGTGTTGGCCCATGTGTGGCATGTCCTCGTGTTCGCCCATGTGTGGCATGTCCTCGTGTTGGCCCACGTGCAGCATGTCCTCGTGTTGGCCCATGTGTGGCATGTCCTCGTGTTGGTCCATGTGTGGCATGTCCTCGTGTTGGTCCATGTGTGGCATGTCCTCGTGTTGACCCATGTGTGGCATGTCCTCGTGTTGGTCCATGTGTGGCATGTCCTCGTGTTGGCCCACTTGTGGCATGTCCTCGTGTTGGCCCACGTGCAGCATGTCCTCGTGTTGGCCCATGTGTGGCCTGTCCTTGTGTTGGTCCATGTGTGGCATGTCCTCGTGTTGGTCCATGTGTGGCATGTCCTCGTGTTGTCCTATGTGTTGCATGTCCTTGTGTTGGCCCATGTGTGGCATGTCCTCGTGTTCGCCCATATGTGGCATGTCCTCATGTTGGCCCATGTGTGGCCTGTCCTCGTGTCTGTCCATGTGTGGCATGTCCTCGTGTTGGCCCATGTATGGCATGTCCTCGTGTTGGCCCATGTATGGCATGTCCTTGTGTTGTCCTATGTATGGCATGTCCTTGTGTTGGCCCATGTGTGGCATGTCCTCGTGTTGGCCCATGTATGGCATGTCCTCGTGTTGGCCCATGTATGGCATGTCCTCGTGTTGGCCCATGTGTGGCATGTCCTCCTGTTGGCCCATGTGTGGCCTGTCCTCGTGTTGGTCCATGTGTGGCATGTCCTCGTGTTGGCCCATGTATGGCATGTCCTCGTGTTGGCCCATGTATGGCATGTCCTCGTGTTGGCCCATGTATGGCATGTCCTCGTGTTGGCCCATGTGTGGCATGTCCTTGTGTTGTCCTATGTCTGGCATTTCCTCGTGTTGGCCCATGTATGGCATGTCCTCGTGTTGGCCCACGTGTGGCATGTCATCTGTGTGTTACATGTGTGGCATGTCCTCGTGTTGGCACATGTATGGCATGTCCTCGTGTTGGCCCATGTGTGGCATGTCGTCTGTGTGTTACATGTGTGGCATGTCCTCGTGTTGGCCCATGTGTGGCATGTCGTCTGTGTGTTACATGTGTGGCATGTCGTCTGTGTGTTACATGTGTGGCATGTCGTCTGTGTGTTACATGTACAACTGTGTTCCAGGTGGACCTGGCGTACACACCAGTGTAGGGCAGTTACTGCCAGCTCTTGCCAGGCTTGTGGATCACAGCGATCAGCTAGACACCCTACACCTGGTCCACCGACTGGACAGACAGACTACAGGGGTCATGCTACTGGCCAAGTAAGTAGCTCCGTAGACCACCAGGGGTTGTGGGGAAGCCTAGTGGTTAAAGCATTTGCTCATTGTGCCGAACACCCAGGTTCGATTCCCCATGTGTACAAAGCAACATTGTCTAGTAAGCATGGTAAGTAGCTCTGTGGAACACCATAGGTCTTACCAATGGCCAAGTAGCTGTGTAGAACACTGGGTGTCATGGTACTGCCGCAGTTAGTTGCTCTGAAGAACACCAGGTGTCATGCTTCTGGTAATGTTAGTAGCTCTGCAGAACACCATGGTACAGTGTTCTGGACAAGTTACTAGCTCCGGAGAAAACCCAGTGGCATGCTACTGGCCGAGTTAGTAGAACACCGTAGGTCATGCTCCTGGCCATGTAAGTATCTGTAGAACACCAGGTGTCATGCTACTGGCCCATGACTGTGTGTTATGTCTGACCTGACTGACCCCTCTATCCTCAGAACAGCAGAGATGGCCTGGCAGTTGAAGAGCGCCTTCAAGAGGAGGGAGGTGGTGAAGAAGTACTGGGTGCTCACGAAGGGAGTGCCAAACCCCCTCAAGGGTAGGTCCAGCCCACCTGTGTTCCAGGATTCATTAACTCTCAGACTAAGATCATTAACATCAAATCTTTTACTTCTCTCTCTGCCAAGATCAGACAGGTGTATGTGCAATATTTTCCAACTGTTTGGCAGCCAGTTTTAAATAATCCAGTCTTGACCAGACAGCAGCGGTTGGGTAGCCTAGTGGTTAAAGCATTCACTCATCACGCCGACGACCCGGGTTAGATTCCAAACATGGGTACAATGTGTGAAGCCCATTTCTGGTGTTCCCCGCCGTGATATTGCTGGAATATTACTAAAAGCGACGTAAAAACATACCCACTCACTCACTCACTTGACCAGATAATCTAGTGATAGACATCATGAGCATCAATCCACACAACTAGCATACGATGACAAGCGATCAACCAAGTCACTGAGTATGACCAGTTTTTCCATATAGTCAATGAAATATTTTCTGTTGCAGATTATCATTGTTGAAATGTAGATACTTTTCTTTGGCTGTCTTTGTTTACGTTTGATAGGGCCAGTACATTGGCTTATCTGAAGCATTGTTTTGCAAACAATAGCCGATAATTCCCAAGCTTATTTGGCTCTGCTTGCCTTATTCTGTGGGTTTAGACTTATCACGTGACCAGACTCTGCACTTCTGAAATAAGAACAGATGGGCCTAATGCGAGCCATTTGGTGTGCTTTACATATTGTTTTGCATAAATATATAGACATGCTCACATAATAACTGCAACAGTGAGGTGCATGGCAATATGGCTATACCCATCAAAGTGGCCGCCGCATCGCTTGCTCTCTGTAGGGCTTCAATTACCGCACTTGACGGACAAATATGTTGGCTTCTCTGCACGGAGCTCTATTGTTTTGGTTTGAGGATAGAATAGTGCATGAAATAAAGTGTGACGTCACACTCGGAAATTATTTAAATGCATGATTTAAAAACACCCAGAACCGTTAACGTACCAGCCATTTAAGCTTGTGACCTATCAGAGGGAGCTACAGTGCCGTGGCAACAATATAACCATGCTGTTTCTTTTCCAAGGTTTACACCAAATCAAAAGAATTTGGCATTAGCCCCCTTTTGGTTCTGACCTCTGCACATTGGGTTACTGCTGACTGTCTTGTCAAGGTTGAGGGTAGTCAAGGGATTTATTCTGGATTCCAACAAAGTGCCCTTAGCAGACAATTTGGAACAATAATTATATTTTCTAAAGTTGTGTTTTTTGTGATTTTATTCAATGCGGTAGTATATAATGAATCATTAAAGCCTCTCCAGTCCTTTGTGGTTTTGTTGTCAGTGTAATATAACTGACCTCATTAAGTCAAGTTATTGGTTACTATAACAACACAAATTAAAAAATTTATTTCCAATTTTGGAATTTATACCAACACTGGCTGCACACTTGAGACCGAAGATTGGCGTCCGAGCAGGTCTAGATCAATCCTAGAGTTCAGCAAGCAGAGTTCTGTCCCTTCTTTGGCCAGGATCCTCTGATAGGTGGTTTGAATCTGTCCCGTCCATGTATTGGCTGATACACCTCAATGTGTATGTGTAATAATTGATGATGTTATATCTGTTCATTTCCAGCTGTGGTTGACATACCGATAGGAGAAGGGACAGTTGGGAGGTTCCACAGGGTAAGACGCTTCACATATATATGTTCATCATAGTTCAGTTGCATAAATATAGCTTGCCTTGCAACCATGGAGACTGTTAGAGACTGTGGGGATTCCAGGTGAGAATAGGTCCCAAGCAACCTTTGCTGGTCGTAAGAGGTGACTTAATGGATCTGGGGTCAGACTTGATGACTTGGTTTACTGCGTGCCATTGTACCCCGACAATATCGATCAGTGGATAGGTCTTCAGCAACCCATGCTTGCCGTAAAAGGCGACTATGCTTGTCGTAAAAGGTGACTAACGGGATCGGGTGGTCAGGCTCGCCGACTTGGTTGATGCACGGTCATCGATCCCAACTGCGTGGATCGATGCTAATGATATCAATCACTGGATTGTCTGGTCCAGACTGGATTATTTACAGACCGCCGTCATATAGCTGGAATATTGCTGAGTGCGGCGTTAAACAAACAAATCCAATTGTTTTGTTTGTTGTTTAACGCTGCACTCAGCAATATTCTTCCTGCAGTGTTTTATTGTACGATAAACAGCGACCACGATTTGTTTATTTCTTATCATACCTTTTTCGACAACAACATTGCGTACAGCCTCTTTTAGGATGTTAGAAAAAAGTAAATGTTTTAAAAGTGTTTTACCTTATTTGAATAATGATGACTCCCTGAATAGAATCTGACTGTAGTCATGTTGGACAAGTCCATTTTATGAACAGGGAGGTTAAATTTGGTCTTTCCCGCATATACTCACAAGTTTCACATCGATTATCTGTACCTTGCCTCCCCAAACTGATTGTCATATGTCTCCCACTATGGGGAACAACTCACTATAGACACTTCCCTCTTGAAAATAACATCATCCAATTTACGACGTCATTACGTCTGAGCGCATGTTTGAATGATGTCATAAAAGAACAATGTTTTATCATGAAATAAACCATGCTTTGTTCTTCATTGTTCTTTGCGATTTATCACGTAGCTATCTTATATAACTAGCTACTTTGGCATCAAATATTTGATAACATCAGCATGTAAATAGACATGGCGTTATTATCCTAATCTAACTGCCTCATCTCCACTGATGCAGATGGTGTTGAAGCCGGAGTCCACCACAGACACAAGACTTGTCACAAGAAGGAGCTCCACTGAATCCCACCAGGCCATCACAGAGTTTGAAGTCCTAGATAGTCATGGCAACGCGGCTCTTGTGGAGTGTACGCCTCTCACAGGTAGCTAGACTATGATCATGGGTTGTCTGTGCAGGTGGAAAACATTGTGATTAGTGTTGACCATTTGCTGGTCCACTTCCACACATTGTTTTCTCTTCACATGTTTATTATGTTCGAAATATATATTGTTTTGCCCACAACACAGACCTGGGTTTGGCTTGCCAAATGGGTACAATGCCTGAAGCCCAGTCTTAACGATAACAGCCAGTCTCACTCAGGATGTGCCAGTCCTGAGATTTATTGGTACCTGTCATTGTCTTAGGCAGTGATATTCCATTGATGTTCTTGTGATGTTTCAATGATGTTCCAGTGATGTTCATGTTATGTTCTTGGGATATTTCAATGATGTTGCTGTGATGTTCATGTGATGTTCCAGTGATGTTCATGGGATGTTTCAGTGATGTCCCTGTGATGTTTCAGTGATGTTTCAGTGATGTTCCTGTGATGTTTCAGTGATGTCCCTGTGGTGTTCCTGTGATGTTTCAGTGATGTTCATGTGAAGTTCCAATGATGTTGCTGTGATGTTTCAGTGATGTTCCAATGATGTTGCTGTGATGTTTCAGTGATGTTCCAATGATGTTTTAGTGATGTTCCAATGATGTTTTAGTGATGTTCATGTGAAGTTCCAATGATGTTCCACTGATGTTCCAGTGATGTTTCAGTGATGCCCTGTGAAGTTCCAATGATGTTCCAGTGATGTTTCAATGATGTTTCAGTGATGTTGCTGTGAAGTTCCAATGATGTTCCAGTGATGTTTCAGTGATGTTCCTTTAATGTTTCAGTGAAGTTCCAATGATGTTCATGTGATGTTTCAGTGATGTTTCAGTGCTATATCTAATGAAACATGTTTACTTCAGGGCTGAAGCATCAGATCCGGGTGCACCTGGCGTTTGGTCTGAACACCCCAGTCCTCGGTGACCACAAGTACTCCCACATCACCAAAGTGGCACCACAGGTAGGACAGTATGTCAGATCTAGTCTTGGATATGTGAGAGTGGGTGTGAATGTACTGCAACAGGACCCAAGTACACTCTGCTGTACAGAAGCCATGTTAGACTGACATTTGTTTAGTGGACTGGATTATGTGTCCGAAACCTTTTGCATTGATGACTGTGGATGAGACACTTTTCATTTTTCACTCCCTCTCTCTTTACTACATTCTTTCTCACAGCTTTGCTCAGTATTCTATCTCTCATTTCTGTCTCTCATTCTCTCACTCACTTGATCCATCGTACTCACTCACTCTCTTCATCATTCTTTCTCACAGCTTTGCTCAGTATTCTATCTCTCATTTCCGTTCTTATTCTCTCACTCACTTGATCCATTGTACTCGCTCACTTTCTTCATCATTCTTTCTCACAGCTTTGCTCAGTATTCTATCTCTCATTTCCGTTCTTATTCTCTCACTCACTTGATCCATTGTACTCGCTCACTTTCTTCATCATTCTTTCTCACAGCTTTGCTCAGTATTCTATCTCTCATTTCCGTTCTTATTCTCTCACTCACTTGATCCATTGTACTCGCTCACTTTCTTCATCATTCTTTCTCACAGCTTTGCTCAGTATTCTATCTCTCATTTCCGTTCTTATTCTCTCACTCACTTGATCCATTGTACTCGCTCACTTTCTTCATCATTCTTTCTCACAGCTTTGCTCAGTATTCTATCTCTCATTTCCGTTCTTATTCTCTCACTCACTTGATCCATTGTACTCGCTCACTTTCTTCATCATTCTTTCTCACAGCTTTGCTCAGTATTCTATCTCTCATTTCCGTTCTTATTCTCTCACTCACTTGATCCATTGTACTCGCTCACTTTCTTCATCATTCTTTCTCACAGCTTTGCTCAGTATTCTATCTCTCATTTCCGTTCTTATTCTCTCACTCACTTGATCCATTGTACTCGCTCACTTTCTTCATCATTCTTTCTCACAGCTTTGCTCAGTATTCTATCTCTCATTTCCGTTCTTATTCTCTCACTCACTTGATCCATTGTACTCGCTCACTTTCTTCATCATTCTTTCTCACAGCTTTGCTCAGTATTCTATCTCTCATTTCCGTTCTTATTCTCTCACTCACTTGATCCATTGTACTCGCTCACTTTCTTCATCATTCTTTCTCACAGCTTTGCTCAGTATTCTATCTCTCATTTCCGTTCTTATTCTCTCACTCACTTGATCCATTGTACTCGCTCACTTTCTTCATCATTCTTTCTCACAGCTTTGCTCAGTATTCTATCTCTCATTTCCGTTCTTATTCTCTCACTCACTTGATCCATTGTACTCGCTCACTTTCTTCATCATTCTTTCTCACAGCTTTGCTCAGTATTCTATCTCTCATTTCCGTTCTTATTCTCTCACTCACTTGATCCATTGTACTCGCTCACTTTCTTCATCATTCTTTCTCACAGCTTTGCTCAGTATTCTATCTCTCATTTCCGTTCTTATTCTCTCACTCACTTGATCCATTGTACTCGCTCACTTTCTTCATCATTCTTTCTCACAGCTTTGCTCAGTATTCTATCTCTCATTTCCGTTCTTATTCTCTCACTCACTTGATCCATTGTACTCGCTCACTTTCTTCATCATTCTTTCTCACAGCTTTGCTCAGTATTCTATCTCTCATTTCCGTTCTTATTCTCTCACTTACTTGATCCATTGTACTCGCTCACTTTCTTCATCATTCTTACTCCAACACTCATTCTTCCTTCATTCTCTCACTCATTCATCATTCATTTTCTCTCCATTGCTCAGTGTTTCCTCATTCACTCCTTCCCTTACCCATTTTCTTATTCATCCATTCACTCGATGTCATTTCTTCACTCACTTCCTTGTTCTCATTCGTTTCCTCTCTCATTCATCCAATCTCTCACTCATTCCAGCCTGCACTTCTTACAGTGCTGCACCCCTATCCTGACTTAATCCATCACCTGGGAACCTGGTCACCAACTACAGCACAGTTATTGTTCCATTTCTCATTGTGTCCCTAATTCTCTCACTAATTCCCTCCCTCCTTCCTTGCAGCGTCTTCATCCTGACCTGCTTCACCGCCTGGGGATCCGGCAGAGCAAAGTTCGTCACCTTCCAATGCTGCTTCACGCCAAGAGCATCCTCATTCCAGGGTTCCTAGATGGGAGAAATCTCTCCATCCAGACACGACTGCCACGCCACTTTTCTCTCAACATGAACAGGCTTAAGATCAAACCGCCCAGAAACAGATAGAGGATATCACACTTAAAGCCTTTACTTAAAGCCTTCTCATGGGTGGCCCAGTTGCTGAAGATGCCGCGTTTCGCTGTGCGGAGTTGCGTCTCTTGGGCACGCCAGAAACCTATGATTGTGTGTTCAAATCCCAGTTCGCCTTGATTGTTTCTAGGTTTGTCAACACCATACCTGTGCTCGTGGGTTTCACCGAAGTCTTAAACATATGAGGCCTGCATCAAACCAAATCAAGCTGACACACCGCGATATGACTGAAATACTCTTAAAAGCAACGTTAAATTTAAAGAAACCCAAAATATTACTCATCACACATCATCAATAACCCTGTTTCTCCAGTGTAATAATCGAGTCTGGGGTAGAATAGGTCATCAGCAACCCGTGCTTGCCATAAAAGGCGACTATACTTGGCGTAAGAGGTATCTAACGGGATCCGGTGGTCAGGCTTGCTGACTTGGTTGATGCATGTCATCTTATCCCAATTGCGCGGATCGAATCTCATGATGTCTATCACTGGATTGTCTGGTCCAGACTCGATAATTTACAGACCGCTGTCATGTAGCTGGAATATTGCTTTGTGCTGCGTTAAACAACAAACAAACATATCTAGGTCAGTTCACTGTGAGTTAGGCAGGAGCCATGTTGTCCTTTAGAGTATCCTTCGTCACATGATCTAATGGAGTGAAATCCAGGCTGTCTGGGCAGATTCAATGATGTGGCAACAAGTGACAAGCGGTGTCCATGACAGCAACAATACCAGAACATTTCCACATGGACCATTACAGCTTTGATGTCTAATTTGTTCCACCAAGATGATGGAGTCTTTTGTACTTTCTTGGAATAAAGCATTCCTTGAGGCTACGCTTGATTTTGATATGTTCTGATTGATTTTACAGACAGTGATAGAAATTGGCACGTGTCCTTTTATCCTTGCGAAGCTCCTCAAAGGTTAAGGTATCATAAAGACGATAGAAGTTTGCCATTTTAAAGGGTTTTGCTATGTGTTATCATTGTAAGGACAATGTGTTATCATTGTGAGGACAATGTGTTATCATTGTAAGGACAATGTGTTATCATTGTAAGGACAATGTGTTATCATTGTGAGGACTAGTGGACTACAACTGTTAGTTTCTATCGCTGATTAACACAAGTTTAGGCATTAAAAATTAAAAATTGAAAATTCTATTTTAAAACGTCCAACATGTACATTGTTCATTTTGTATTTTGGTGTAAATCTGGGGCAAATCAGTTGTTTCAAGCATTTTCGGGGACATAATATATTTCAGTCTGGGTCCCAGAGTCTCGGTCTCGTTCCCGGAGACTGTTCCCTACATGATGGGGTGTGTTTTCTGAGGATGATGCACGTCTTGAAAATGGTACAAGGCTCTTCACAACTACTTTATAAATCAACAGCATGATTTGTGACCTTGCTGATTGGTATTATATTAATAAATGGATCCCAGAACGAAGATGTGTGTTTTACTTTTTCTTTGTTTATTCAGTGGGATGTGCTGCAAAGCCAACACAACATCCGTAGCCGCAGAGTCATGCCTCTTCAGGGGGGCACAGGTGGCCCAGTCGTCTAAGGCACCGCGATTCGCTGTGCAGAGTTGCGTCCCTTAGGCACGCCAGAAACCTATGATAGTGGGTTCCAGTCCCGGTTCGCACCGATTATTTTTCACCATACCCGTGCTCGTGGGTTTCACCGAAGTGGTAAATGTCTGAGACCTGCATCACTTCGGGCTTTCCTACCACATTAAGCTGACACACTGTGATATGACTGGAATATACTGTTAAAAGCAGCGTTAAACCCAACTCACTCACACTCATGCCTCTTCATATCCATATGACCTGGCATGGCTGGTAAGTAGTCAGTGGTGCGCAAGTTGCTGTGTGCATTTTTGAAATAACCAAAGCGGTACGAGTGATTGTGGACATTGATTAATTTTACATTTTGATCACATTTTCCGTGATCATGAGTACCAAACGGGTTTTTCTATTTGTTACCCATTCTACTTCTAAACATATTAATTTGAAGATGCAAACCTGAACTCGTTATGCATTTCTGGAGGGTGGCTTACTTGTTTCCCGTGATATTTGATGTTGCCTATTGTTATATGACGTCATTATATTACACCTACAAGAAACTCGATTGTATCTCAAAAGTTGTGAAATGTAGACACCAAGAGCTGGAGCTGCTGGAATATTGCCCGACATAAAGGGAAAGTTGACTATTGGAAAGTCCCTCTTGTCATACAGTTTTGTGGAAAGTGGTTTGTCTGCCTCCGTGGTCTAGGGGTAGAGCGTCCGCCCGGAGAGCGAAGGTCATACCAAAAGACGTTTAAAGATGGTACTTGCTGTTACCCTGTCTGGCGCTTGGCATTGAGGGGCTAAAACAAGGACTGGTTGGCTTGGAGTCAGTATACTGTGTCTAAGTAGGGTATTCATGTTAAACTGCGGCATGGTATCTCAGTGAGCTAGCACTATAAATCGGCATCAGTCCGGACTAGTACAAGCAGCCACACAAACACGCACACGTACATGCACGTCGCTATATTAGTGCAATAATCTCGGACGGGACGTTTAACCCCATTTCACCTCATCTGAATGTTATTGCATAGCCATATTATACGTCTGCCAAGACACAGAAAAATACATGAAATATAAGATTTATTGCATTCATGTACACAGTCGCGTAGAATATTGAAACAGTAAGTTCAGTTATAACAGGTAGATATCGCTGTCAAACGTTAGAATACACACCAAACCTGGGGCTGTTTTCAGACCTCTTACAATTATGATCTTTTACCCATTTACAATCACCACAACACATATTACTACAATTGTACGAGTGAGTGAGTGAGTTGGGTTTAACGCCGCTTTTAACAGTATTCCAGTTATATCGCGGCGTGTCAGCTTAATGTGGGAAGAAAGACCGAAGTGATGCAGGTCTCAGACGTTTACCACTTCGGTGAAACCCACGAGCACGGGTATGGTGCTGACAAACCTAGAAACATAATCGGGGCGAACCGGGATTCGAAACCCACAATCATAGGTTTCTGGCGTGGCCAAGGGACGCAACTCTGCACAGCGAATCGCGGCGCCTTAGACGACTGGGCCACCCGTGCCCCCTATCATCTTTTACCCATTTACAATCACCAGAACACATATTACCACAATTGTACGAGGATTCCTTTAAGCTTTTCAAATTCAATCATCATTTAAAATTTTGAACAACATATTTGCTTTAATTTCGTTGGAATAGTTTTAATGTTCTTCCTGAAGTCTTGACTGTAGAAGCCATAGATGAAAGGATCCGCCACATTGTTGATGAAGAATGATCTCATGGCAACACCGTACCAGTGAGACAGCGCATGCGCCGGAAACGCCGCCATGTTGAAAGCCATGAAGTAGAACACGAGGAACAAATGTGGAGTGTAGCTGAGAAAAAATACTACAGACACCAAGAACATCATTAGGAACGTCTTCTGAGTCCTCCGGTTTTTCTGAACGTTGGGGGACACAGTGACGCTTTTACGGTTGACCGTGTTTTTTCGTGCTTTGTCTCCCTGCTGCGTGTTCTCGTACCCTTTGTCGCCTTTGGTGACTGACGTTTTTGAAGTGTTTTGTGTTGTGACCTGCTGTCCTTGGAGGTCACTGACACAGACTGATGGGTTTACTTGATTGGTGGAAATTTTAGTTGAAGCGAAGGCTTTTTTCTTCTTCCATAGTTCCCGTCCTGTGAAGACGTACAAACCTGTGAGGATTGTGAGACTTAGAATAAACAGCGATCCTAATACGACGTAGAACGCCAAGGGATATGGGGTCATAATATATGCATTCTGAACCCCACAGAAGATGTGGACCACGCCATCGAGTTCCAACTCCGATACTCCAAAGATGAGGGGGACAGGGGATGCTAGAGTAAGGGCAATGCAGAAAGCAACAACACCAACGATTTTGGCATGATTGACAGACATGTTGGCCGAATGGGGATGACATACAGCTTTGTAACGAATCGTTGCTATGGAAACTAGTAGTACAGCGGAACCAATGGCGGTGAAGGCGATCATGAAGCAAGACATCTTACAAATCGCCATGTTGGGTAACAGTTTAGGGTTGTAGATAGAAGCAATGTCAAGCGGCATGTGGAATATGCATGCGAGGATATCGAAGACCCCCAGCACTGTCAGAAGAGTGTTAAAAGCCGACGTTTCCCCCTTAAACGCGTACAGGACAAGCGAATTGCCCACAGTTCCTATTATCATAGATGAAGAAATGAACCCGATGACAACTTTGCTAAAAGCAGGGATGGGTTCCTGAGATGTAGCATTCATTGTGAGATTCGTTTTTGGGCCCCCGTTGTTGGTTTCCAGGAAACGGGAATTATGAAGTGTATGTTATCTTTTCATTATGCTTTTTTTACTGGAAAGTCGTGCTCATCGCCTTGTTTTTATTCTTTCCTATTTTCTTCTATACGTTGTATTGCTCTCAGGCAATATTTCGATGTCTGGTGATGCGCTTCGCCCCAGGTAACCAGTTCCGTTATTCAGTACCACCCAGACAGAAGATGATGATGCTATCAGGGGTCCTGTGTCATGATTAGCTGCAGGTTACCAGTGATTTCCTCCTGGTTACCGGAACCCTCTGAAAAGATACAATATTAGTTTAGGGACAGATCATTTGATAACCGGGGGCCTGGGATTCTTTCGAAAAAAATGAATTGTCCCCGAAATTCTTTGAAAGAATTGACCATGCCTCAGACTGTTAAAACAAAAGGAAATTGCCTGCCACAAAAATTATATTGTTGCAAGGTGTTTCTCTTCAAATATATCAGACGCATAGTTTTAAATATAATTTTATCTGGTTTTGTAGCTGAAAACATATCTAATCGACCCCAGAATATCAAATGGTCGGTCTCAAAAATACATACATTGGGTTCGCTAAGCCAGCGTTGTGGTGTACTAGTTTCGCGTGGTATTTTATTAATGTTTCTCATATCTGATTACCACCCCTATACTAATACTACCAGAACTCAAGTATGGCGATGTGTATCTACGTGAGTCGAGTATGGCGATCTGTATCTACGTGAGTCGAGTATGGCGATCTGTATCTACGTGACTCAAGTATCGCGATATATATCTACGTGACTCTAGTATCGCGATATGTATCTACGTGAGTCGAGTATGGCGATGTATATCTACGTGACTCGAGTATTGCGATATGTATCTACGTGAGTCGAGTATGGCGATATGTATGTACGCGACTCGAGTATCGCGATATGTATCTATATGACTCGATTATCGCGATATGTATCTATATGACTCGATTATCGCGATATGTATCTACGTAAGTCGAGTATGGCGATGTGTATCTACGTGATCGCGGTATGTTTCTACGTGAGTCGCGTATCGCGATGTGTATCTACATGACTCCAGTATCGCAATATGCATCTATATGACTCGAGTATCGCGATATGTATGTAAGTAACTCAAGTATCGTCATATGCATGAATGAAATCTATATGTATCTGCTACATGCATCGTGATATCGTTATAGGTTAATAATGCATCCCCAAAGCGTTAGAAAAGTATAGCAGGGAAATGATCATTACGGTCGCGATAGCGTCATTAATGCGGTTGTTGGGTAAAGAGCCACTGTTACAGAAATGCTCGAGTTAACACAAACATAAGAGGGAATCCATAGAGAGTGAGTGAGTGAGTGAGTATGGTTTTACGCCGCTTTTAGCAATATTCCAGCAATATCACGGCGGGGGACACCAGAAATGGGCTTCACACAATGTACCCATGTCGGGAATCGAACCCGGGTCTTCGGCGTGACGAGCGAACGCTTTAACCACTAGGCTACCCGACCACCCCGAATCCATAGAGAAGTGACATTTCCCATTTACCACCGTGATTGGACCCGTAAAGATCCGGGGTAGGATAGGTCTTCAGCAACCCATGCTTCCGTAAAAGGCGACTAACGGGATCGGGTGGTCAGGCTCGCTGACTTGGTTGATGCATGTCATCGTTTCCCAATTGCGTGGGTCGATGCTCATCATGTCAGTTACTGGATTATTTACAGACCGCCATAATATAGCTGGAATATTGCTGAGTGCGTTAAACAACAAACAAAACAAAAGGATAATCGTGGGTTCACGAAGCGACTAACGGTATCGGGTGGTCAGGCTCGCTGACTTGGTTGATGCATGTCATCGATCCCAATTGCGTAGATCGATGCTCATGTGTCAATCACTGGATTGTGTGGTCCAGACTCGATTATCTACAGACCGCCGTCATATAGCTGGAATATTGCTGAGTTCGGCCTTTAAGAACAAATTAACAAACAAATTGTAAAATGCGTAGGTTGTATGAAATAATAATATTAATGTAATAATCAGTTTATTACATTTTTGTACGTATGGGCCTCAATTATTCTGTTCTTAAGACTTTTAGTGTCAATAATGGGCAAAACTGGATTGTCTGGTCCAGACTCGATTGTGTACAGACCGCCGTCATATAGCTGGAATATTGCTGAGTGCACGTTAAACAACAAACAAAACACCATCGTGATTGTTTCGATGTTGTCATTCAGTTAATTAGCAGAGACAGAACGCATATAAATCAGTTCGCTTTCACGGTTGAGTATCGTTCCGGCAAAGACTTGTTACGTTTGTCGCACCAATATGCTTCATCGGATTTAGACACTGTTACTGATACGATATGTGAAGACAATGATCTGGCCAAGCGGGATGGCGAGTACCAGATATCTATTGTGACTGCACCAGATACATTACCAGAGTTGTATGATGGAAGTACAATGAGCTACCCTCTAAGTGTAATATCAGACCCCATAGGAGATTACTCCATAGCACCAAGGCAAAACGATGATTCCAGTCCATTGCCAGTTTACCTGCAAACAACGTCGTTACAATGATCTCATGGTCCTTGTCCACGCGAACCGGCTTAAACAGTTTGTCAATCCAAAAGATAGACTTAACTGAACTTTTGTTTACACTCACTCGCTATCAGCGGCATCTGAGGTACAAAATTATTTCAACAACATAATAAATATAAATATAGAATAGATACAAAAGCATCTTTGCCGAGCATACATGCATCTTATACAGATTCACTGGGGTATCAACACACGTGCAATTCAAGGTGGGAGAGTTACTTGATAGGTTTAAACAATGACATGATGATTTTACAGACTTCGGACAGATTTCTCAATGTTCCTAGTCGTGAATTATTGAAAAGTGAATCTATTTTATGCATATTGGGTTTGATGTAGTAGAATCTGTGTAAAAAGGTTTTCTTTCGTTTCCTAACGATGGACAAATAAACAAATAATGGAATTCATCGCCTATGTCAGATAATTTACAAAGTGGGCATTTCCTTTCGGTTAAAGGTATTTTTCTCCAACTAACCCATTGTAACTAATGTTATATTTGGGATAACACTTTCTTAGTAAAGTACAGATTCTAGTACTTTTTTGGGTTGAGTCCCGTCCGGGATTCGAACCCACACCTGCCAGGGTGAGGCACCTAATCGCCAGCACACAAAGTCAGCGATCTAACCCACTCAGCCACCGAGGCTTCCACAAAAATGAAATTCCGACACCTGGTAGTCTAGATCACGTACTCACGTCACGCATTGTGTATTCATAGTTTTCGGCCAAGGGAGCCGTGCCAATTTACACTTGTCAGGGGGGTACTCAAAGTACGTGATCTAGACTACCAGGTGTCGGACTTTCATTTTTGTGGAAGCCTCGGTGGCTGAGTGGGTTAGATCGCTGACTTTGTGTGCTGGCGATTAGGTGCCTCACCCTGGCAAGTGTGGGTTCGAATACCGGACGGGACTCAACCCAAAAAAGTACTAGAATCTGTACTTTACTAAGAAAGTGTTATCCCAAATATAACATTAGTTACATTTGACCACTTTCTAAATGGCATTGTGTATTCATAACCCACTGTTGTTACAGGCAATCCAACTACTCAGAGCTTGACAGATCGGATACAGAGACGGGCATGACAATTCCGGTGTCACAGAACATTCGTCACCACTCGCCCCTTTCCGTAACCTGCAAGAAGACTCGCCCCCCTCTCGATGAATGTTATATGCGAAACCAATCGGAATGCGCGTATGATTTCAAGTTCTTTGTCAAATAATCCATCAGAAATATTTTTTGATTTTAGATATGTCTTGCATCTAAAAATATACCCAAGACACAGTGAAATGTGTTCAATCATACTGCATAATGCCGCACGTCCCGATGTCCTTTAAATTGCATCTGAAATATATATACTATATGGGGAAATATATGTGAACCATTACGCAACGAGTTGACAATTGTTTTAGGTATGCCCGTTTGCGCTAAGACGGAACCTAGTTGCCAAAATGGCCACGAGAGGAGCACGAGTCGCTATTCGGCTTTTCCCGGAATAACACGAGTTGGTCACGAATGGTCATAGAAGTTAACTCCACGCGGGCACTAAACGCTACCTTTGATTCACAGAAGGGTTACGTTTTCATAGAAAAACAAAGTCTAGCGCATAAACTAGTCATTGGAGAGACATAAAACAAGATTCACTTGGAGAATATGCTGTAAAAGGAGGCTACATTATTACCTGATTAAGAAGTCGTTAAAGAAGTGTCAGCATAAGAAATATTTCAAATGTTGTTTCAGACTGTAACAAATGTTATATTTGAGATAACACTTTCTTAGTAAAGTACAGATTCTAGTACTTTTGGGGGGTTGAGACCCGTCCGGGATTCGAACCCAAACTTGCCAGACTGAGACACCTAATCGCCAGCGCACAAAGTCAGCGAGTTAACCCACTCAGCCACCGAGGCTTCCACAAAATGAAAGTCCGACAACTGGTAGTCTAGATCTGGCAAGTGTGGGTTCGAATCCCGGACGGGACTCATCCCAAAAAAGGTACGAGAATCTGTACTTTACTAAGAAAGTGTTACCTCAAATATAACATTTGTTACATTTGACCACTTTCTAAATGGCATTGTGTATTCATTGTTTCAGACTTATTGTTACATTCCGTTTTCTTTTTTAGTTACAACACTGCAGATTTCATATTGGAGACTGAGCAACATCATATTGATTTTGGCATGTGTTTTATTTTCAGGTTTATAATTACATGATGCTATATGCATGGCTAGCCCATGCGTTAGATCTTTTACTGTGGTGTTAGATGATTCAATTGTCACAAGGATATAGGAAAATACAACCGTGCATGTATGTTTAGAATGTGTAATGTTTATTGCCATAATCTTGTTGCGAAATATTCAATATTATTCAGATTACTTACAGTCATGTGTTGGTTTATATTGATAATACAATTCATTTTCACAGGTTCCTGACCAAACGATCCAAACTCATTCCACTCTCCCTGATGTATAGCACATTAATTCGTTTGGCTTACTAATTAATCAATCAAGTACGCACGTCACTCAGGTTGTGAATTTACCGGATTATCTTGCTGTTTTGAATGCAAAAGATCAATATTGAATTTTCTACAAGGGATTTTAAAACATGTTTTGATGAACACGAAAAACACTGTCCAACAAACAACATCCCGCACATGCGCATTTCCTTTGTTCACGCAAGACGCACAAGAAATTAAATCC